ATAAGAGATTCCTATCTGGTGACATTAATAGAAATGCAAATATGCTTAACAAAGTTTAATTACTGCCATTAATCTCATTATCAGCTGGGTGTGGACAGCTTTATTGCCGCTCTCTTCCCAAGAGCACTCTGACGTCAGCCCTAACTGGACACGTGGAAGTGACGGTGTGTGTAGCGTGAGCGCCCGGGCGCTGTGCAAAGTTGATTTCGGGATTGCAGAAATATCCACGCAGGTGAAGGCAATCTGCATTGTGTTTTGTAAAAAAAAAATGTTGTAACCTTGCTAAAAGGATATATGCTTCCACGAATTTAGCACGGGAAAATTAGAAACATAATACTCGGTTAGATAAAGCGTCATTTAACTATGCTACTCACAAAACATTTTTTTTACCAATTAATCGAATGAGAAAAAAATCTATGAATATGAATCAGAAGTGGCTATGGGGAAGAGTGGGAGCAAGTGACTGTAGCGATTGATCAGTGTGTGGTGTTTATGCTTCGGTCTTGCATGTCGAAATGTGTTCACTCGTTGTTTGCGATGTGGTGTTGGTAGTCAGGGCGTGTGCTTTTTGTAGTGTGTATATATATATCTTAGCTTGGCAGCGTCTCCCTTGGCACGGGGCACTCAAGGTGGCATCTCCCACCCACCCTGCCCTTGCTACGGCACTGCGCGCGCGTGTGTGTGGTGTGCGTGGTATGTGTAATGCTGATCTTTGTGGTGTGTCTTTGTGCGCCTGGAGTGTGTGTGACGAGCGGCAGTGTCGTGGTTCGCTCACTGCACTACGAACCCGGCGTCCCTGAGTTCGATTCCCGCTCACAGCCAACACCGGTGACGATTACCTGAACCGGTCCTGGGCCTCCCCTAGGTCGACTCAGCCTCAAATGAATACCTGGTGTGGTGTGTAAACGTCACCACTGAGGAAACAAGTGCTTTCGGGCGTGGTTCTGGCCACCCACCCCGTCTCGTGTGCCGTGCCGGCCTTCACGGGTGCTCGCTAACAACACTTGGCCCAACAGTCTGCTAAGGCGACACGGGGTGGGGGGGGGGCGATCTTTGTTGTCTCCAGGGTGGTGTGGCGAGTCTGGGCGGGGAGAGCCGCTGTGACGACGGCGCGTGGCACCACGTGGAGGCCACGCGGACGATGGGAAATGGCGAGCTGCGGGTCGACGGGGAGGTCGCAGGTGCCACGCACGCCCACGGTGGAGCCCCCCCCCCCCAACCCCCCCCGTGTAAACTCGTCCTGCTGCCAACACAGTTCTAACTCGACGTGCGCACGCACGTATGTATGTTGAACTTCTTTCGCGCCGTACGTAGCCGACCGACCGTGCTAATCGGAGGTGCGTTGTCAAGTAGAACCCGGTGAGCATCCGAGTCTTCATACAGTGTTCAATCGTCAAAAACAAAACTCTGGTTTATAGCTGGCACCTTGATTGCAGTGGTTGTGAAACTCAAGAAAAGGTCGTGGGGTAATGCTAATCTGCAAAGCGGTGGAAAATTCCACATTCATCCAGCAGTGGATAGATTACCACTTATTATTATGGTGTGGGCCACCGTAGTTGCACTGGTGGTTATAGCCGTGAGGTCCGGGAGAATATATAAAAATGATGGTGCGGTACGAGTGGTGCTGGTGGTGGCATTGGCGCTGGTGACCTTTTGACCCTGAAAACTTCCAACGTCGAATCTTCGTTGGTGCTTCTCGGTCTTCACTAAACACAGGAGTGGTGTCCGACTCGGGCCGAGGCTCCATCATCGGAGAGAACGCGGGGCTGTTCGTGGGCGCATTGCCTCGGCGCTACGCCCTGCTCCACATCGACATTGGTGACTATCACACAAAAGTCACACGCGCGTGCCGCAAACGCTCTTCCCGTACACAACGAAGCTCACTCCTCCGCCCCGGCCCTCCCCCACTGCCGCCTCTAGGAGATGAGGCTGCGCTGAGACGAGGCTTCGTTGGCTGCATGAGCGACCTCTTCATCAAGCGGAAGGACTCGCCTCTGGAGGAGTGGGAGCCGCTCGAATGGGATGTTGCGTCGGAGGCTTCGGGAGTGCCGGAGCCTTGGGAGGGCTGCCCCACAGAGCTCCAGCCGGGAGCTCACTTCCTGGGACACGGTCCGAGGGCACTCTGCATTGTGTACCACAGAACACCACACATGCTGCATGTGTATCACCATCATCATCATCAGAAGCAGCAGCAGCAGCTACACAGCTAGTCCTCTACTTACGATGGAGATGCGTTACGACGACCCCTTCGTAAGTCGAAAATATCGTAAGTCGAAGATGGCCTAGCTTACCCAGGAGTCGTAAAGAATGGTGATAATTTAGCAAAACAGAGCAATTTACAGTAGCGTACTGTATAAACTATATACTGTATGTATTTATTACTTGCAATACTGTATTGCACAGTAAAACGTAAAGTAAAAAAACAAGGTACATTCTTAGCCTACCTATATGGACTGCAATTTAATAGAAAGTTTTTCAGGAAACAATCCTGTCTGCTAAAAAAACTTTTAACATGCATTGAACGTATCGTATCGTGGTAACCTTAAAATGAAATCGCTAAAGCTACGTATCACACATGCATTGAACGTATCGTAACGTATCATATTGTACTGTAATCACCAAGAATACGTCCGTCGTCTGCATACTTGAACGATGTTAGGTTGTTCTATTTATTTCACTGCTGGGTGAATGCCTCCCCAAGCTACTGCCATCTCGCACTCCACTGTAAACCCAACCACATGAGTATGATTGCTAACCACAGCTCACATCAGCAGAGCCATATCTGAACGTGTTCTGGGCCCCACTTCCCTAACCCGCACTGTGGGTTGTAGAGAGTGCATTTTAATGGGCAAAAAGTCTATTTGTGTCACATTTTTTTGACACAGCACTCCCAACAAGCCCATCAAATCACCAGATGAGTCAAATACCACCCAGTTAAAAATAAATCAGTCCCCTATTCAAATTGATTGCTTACTGCACGTGACTAATCATTTATTCCACCGTTTGTAATTAATAACAGTCTGTGTAAATAGTGCGTAATTCTGTGCTTGTGTGGCTGCTACTAATGCACTCATGCATCGATGCTCACAGGGCTAATTGGAACATTAGAGCCTTGACAAGAAATGCTTAGGGCTCGCTGTGAGCACAAGTTTGGCTTATGATGTTGCTTTCTCCTCATGCTTGAGACCTCCCTTCCAACCGCTCGTGTCGGGGTTGATTTTCCGTAACATTTTTTTTAGCACTTTTCCAGCCGGAGGTGGTTGTATGAGATTGGTAAGTGAAATCAGTGAAGGTTTAAAATATAATGAGCTTCATTGGCCTCCTGTTACTTTTGGAAAAAGGGAGACCTAGTTAATCAACTTTAAGGAATTAACGGATGTGAGGTAATTGTGCTGAGAGGGAATGTAAGCTCCTTGAGGACACGTCTGGGATCGGACTAAACAATGTCCAGTATCAGACTCAAGAGCGGAGCACGCAGAGCAGACTGATGTTTCTAGTGTACGTATTGTATGTCTGTTGAACTTCTTTCGCACTGTACGTAGCCAACCGTGCTAATCGGAGGTAAGAAATGTGGTTCAGAAGAGGTGCATCTCAGCGCCTGATGTTTGTCGGGCAGCAGTGAGTGTCGCGGCCCCCACCCTATTACGTCGAACTAACAGGAACATCTTTACGGTATAAATGTAACTCCTCTTGCCCTGGCTCTTGTGGGTAAAATGTGTCTGTAGATGTATTTATTACAGCCATTTGTCAATCCATTGCTCGACGAAGACAGACCCACGCCGGCTCGGTCATTGGTTAGAGCGGAGTAGGCCTGGGCTGAGCCGTCCTCATTTGGTAGGTGATGCTCCCGCCCCGGCCACGAGATCTATCGCGCTCTGCCGGTGACGCTGTTCGACTCAGAGTGTGACGAGCACGAAACTGGGGTTGTGGCAGTTCGGCTGGGAGGGCACAAACACGGCCCGCCGGAGGTGAACTCGCGGAGAAAAAGTGAAGAATTCGACTGTAGGCGGTGATATTCAATCACTGTGAGGGTTTGAACGTATCGTAGATCCACACCGGAAAAAAAATCCGAAGCTGTGTTCACACCCAGCGCTCTCTCGCCTTCTCAGCGCTCATGTCTGTTGGTGGCCCTCAGCCAGTAGTGGTGGAAATTTAATGTTCCTACGGTGGGGGGCAGTCTATTTATCGGACGACCACTGCTGACTTCCCGCAAGATACAATTAAGAAAGTCAGCTTTGCCCTAAAGCTGTTTTGAATAAAAAAAAAATGTCGATAAGAGCAGTGGGGGTAGATGTTTAGTGAGCGTGGCGCTGTTTTATCTTGTGCCAATTTGTGCAGAATTAAGTGTTCGAGTTTCCAGTGCCCCCCAGTAAGTGGCATTGCTGAATAACAGTCCTGATATTGGACGTCTTTTTTCATTACAAGCTCTTAATTGCTTTAAGTTTCGCGTGTACAAAGACCGTGGTGGTTTTTGTGCTCCCATGTCAATTTGCAACGGAGCAATCTGCAAGTGCACAACAAAAATAGGTCCACGCAAATCATGGTGCGAGTCACCTATGCAGATGCATCTTCTCGTGTTAACACCGCTCATGATGATGAAATCCAATTACCCCGTGAGTCTGCGCGAGCGTCAAGTGCTTTGGCAGCGGCGCTGTGCCAGGCGGGGGGAGTGGCGGCGCGGTGGCTGGCGCCGGTGTTTCATGTCCCAGCAATCCCAACTTTCCGAGTCGTCGTCCGAGGCAGTTAACTACGCTGCACGTACGTGCGTACGTTGACTTTCTTTCCCACCGAACGTAGCCAAGCGTGCTAGTTGAAGGCGCGCGGTCATTAGAGACAAATGGCCGGCCCTCGGGAAGGCGAATGCGGCTGGGTGATTTGGTGCCACACCTTCACGTGTGCTGTGCCAGCCCCCATGGGCGCTCGCTAGCAGGGTTACCGAACGTGAGATGATGCTGTGGTGTGACCTCCAGCATCATCATCGTCTAACGTGCTCTCATTGCCTTGCAGCACATTCGTCGCAGGAGATTCAACCACGAGCAACATTCAGTTACGGGACGTTGCAGTGATTTAGCATCGTCCGACCTTATGCTCAGCTTTAAGAGATCATTACATATGTGCACACGATCTGAAATCCAGATCCGGTGGTTTCATATGGGTTTAATAATTCCCATTAGAGATTTTACAAAGACTTCCCCATAATTCATCTGCCACCGTTCTCTAAACGGTTCTTCCTCAATGTCGACTGGGAATTCTCACGGCGCAGTTTTAGCAAATTAATAATGGCTCCATATTATTATTGTCGCGTGGTGATTTGAGAGCATGCGCTGGCGATGGTTGGCACAGGTAACGGCTCCTCACAATCAGAATCTTTATACTGGTAGGAACCACCTGGTTCCACCAGCCCACAGGGGATTGTTGTGTCCGTCCGTCCGTCGTGCATCCAAAAATGGGAGGGGTCGGGCTGGGTGGAGAGGGGAGGGTGGGGAGGGGCTGAGTGGGGAGGGGAGAGTGGGGAGGGGCTGAGTGGGGAGGGGCTAGGTGGGGAGGGGCTGGTCACCCCGTGGTGCCCTTATAAAACTCAATGTTTAACCTACTCACGCTGGCTTGTGCCCGCCCTCACAGTCGGCCATATTTGCGGAATACACCACGCCGCCGTTGACCCTGGCCATCAACCAAGCAACCCAACGTTCCTACCAGCTCCCTCCGCAGGAATGTGTTTCATACTGGAGGAATCTGATGAGCTACAAAGCTCTTTTTCACAGATGTGCAGTCGGATGTTCAGAATAAATAGACGCGAGTGACAGCAGTGAACGCCTCGTCTGAATCCCCTTGGGTGTTGCTGATTTCAATTTGCAAAAGAAATGTATAATCTGATTAAGTATTTGTAGAAAGGCAATCCAATTTGAGGTGATGTTCCTTGCCGTTGTGCCTCGCTAGGGTTTTTGGAGTTGCGGTCGGGCCTGTTTTCTGGAGAAGGTGACTTTGAGGTGTCGCTGCAGTTCCGCACGGAGAGGCGGGGTGAGATGATCTTGCTGTTCGCCCATGGTGACGAGGGAAAGTCGTTCGTCACGGTAAGTACAACCAACTCGTTGTTTTTGCGAGTTCACCCTTGTGATCATTTTCCATCGCTTGCCTCTGTCTCCACGTCACTCGTCTCAGCATGAGCGCTGCATCGTGCTCTCGTGTGTGTGGTGACGTTGTTGTCCCACAGTGTGTGCTCTCCGAAGAGCAGCTCCTGTTTGCCGTGGCCACCGGCTCCCAGACGGCCTTGCTCAATGCGACGGTGGGCAGCAGCTACTGCGACGGGCGGTGGCACACGGTGACAGTCGGCAGGAACGCCTCGATCATCTCCGCCTCCCTGGACGGCGCACCGGCGGCCAGCGTGGAGGGCGTGCTGGGAGACCTCAACATCACGTCCCCTTTCTACCTGGGTGGTGTGCCACCGGGCCTTCCCGCTCAGGGCCTGCTCCACCACCGCAGCTCCCATCCAGGTGATTCCCCTTCACTCACGCGGGCTCAGTGCAGCCAGCGCCGCGTCCGTACGTCGGCGCAACTTAACCCCGTGCCATAAACGTCACGCCGCCACGCAAAATATTAAAATGAGCTAAGTTGCTGCCGTCTGTGATGTCTTTGAGAAGAGTTCGGAGGCTGCATCGGCGCCGTGAGCCTGATGCGTGGCTCGGCGGTGGAGCTGGGGCCGGCGTCCGTGGGTGCGCGGGGGGTGAGCCTGGACGGGTGCCCCTGGGGGGGCGCGGCGTGCCGACCCGCCGGACCCTCGCTCGTCTACAGCGGCACCCGCGGGACGGCCCTCGACACGGGGCTCGACGCCTTCACCGGTCTGCGGCCTTCGCACCGCACGGCCGCAACGTTCGCGTTCGTCTTCGGCACGGGCGGCCGCGCGCACCTTCCCGCAAGGCGCTCAAAGCGTTGTTGTCGAATGTTGTCGTTTGCGCAGAATACCTGTACAGGGTGACGGCGGTCAACGAAGCCGGGTTTGACGTGTCCCCCTGGGAGAGGGTCAGGAGCAGGGAGGGAGGTGAGTTCCGCTCATCGGCTCAACGGGATGAGGCCCGCTGTGCTCCCCGATGGGGAGGGTGGCTTCCCGAGGCGTCGGCCAAGATGCGGAGTCAAATTAACGGCGTGCAAAAAGTTAAGGTGACGGAAAGGGGAGGGATGGCATGGGCCGAGAAGGGCCCAGACAGAGGACGAGGTCAATAGCAAGGGCAATATCGTGAGGGTGGCCGTGATTGAGTAATTAGATTGTACAGGAGATACTGTGATTATATTAAATTAACTCAATTTGCATTGAAATCGCTCCCTTTTTAAAGTTTGCTTGCATACATTATACTATTTTATCGGCTTGAAAGATAAAAAAATGGGTTCCTGCACATTTATTGGAAATTAACCCCAAAAGAAATGAATGTCATAATTCAGAAGATAACCGCTAATGCCAAAAAAAGAGGGGAATTTTTAAACAGTTTGTTAAAAATCCTAATAATATAGCTAACAGCCAAAGCATGACAAATGGCGAGAGGGTGGGCTGCAGGCAGCGTTATTATATGGTGACTAATGAGCTAATTACAGAGAGCTTATTTGATTTACTGATAAAAAAAAAACCTTCAATTCTTCACTCACTTCACTCCTCACTGGGGAGGGGAAAAGTCTTTGCACACTTTCGAAAGTGCCGCGTCTGTGCTGTCACCTCGGGTTACCGCGGGTTTCGCCGCAGATAGTGCGCGGGGAATGCCTGCGATGATACGAATGCAAAACAAATCACTGCCCGCACTCACTGTTCGTGAAGTAATGACCCCAATCAATACACCAAATTAATCAATTATACACCCCTAATCGCACAAAACAAATTGAAGGATACATTTTAATCAATGTAATTACTTATGGTTCAGGCTGGGTACATGATTGGTAATGGATATTGTCTTTGCCTTAATTTATAATTGAAAAAAAAAATGCAGTCTAGACTGCGGAGTGACCTCCTGGTGTGATCGTTTAGATTCATAAAAGTGGCACTCAATCAAAGTTCGTATACAACGTGGAACGCCTCCGTGTACACAGCGCAAACTGTGCAACGAGTTTTGTCTAAAGGCACTTACGTGGACGAATATATTTGACGATGTAAAAAAAAGAAACGAAAGCAGGAAATATCTCGCGGTGAGGAGATGGAATTTGATGTTTTGGTGAGGACAGCTGGAAGAGCGGCCAAGTGAAATGCAGCCCTTTGCAGGAGGAAACATGTTTTTTATTTTGCTTTTTTTACAAGAAGAAACAAAAAAAATAACGCGACCTGCGTGCAATTTTAGGAAAAGCACTGACAATTTAATGAATCGCCTGCGACTGACAAGCAGTGCGATGTGTTTATCCTGCTTCAAGGGCTTTTACATAAGCAGCCAGTAGCCTGGCGGCCTGCACGCAGCGCACCACCACCCAGTGCCGCCATCCATTCACGAGCGCCTGCAGCAGGCTGCTGGCACATCGCTCTCGTCACCCTCATCACCCTCGTCACCCTCATCACTCTCGTCACCATCATCACTCTCATCACCCTCGTCACCCTCATCACTCACATCACCCTCATCACCCTCGTCACCCTCGTCACCATCGTCACCCTCATCACTCTCGTCACCCTCGTCACCATCGTCACCCTCGTCACCCTCGTCACCCTCATCACTCTCGTCACCCTCGTCACTCTCGTCACCCTCGTCACCCTCGTCACCCTCATCACTCTCATCACCCTCGTCACCCTCGTCACCCTCGTCACCCTCATCACCCTCGTCACTCTCATCACCCTCGTCACCCTCATCACCCTCGTCACCCTCGTCACCCTCATCACCCTCATCACCCTCGTCACTCTCATCACCCTCGTCACCCTCGTCACCCTCGTCACCCTCATCACCCTCGTCATCCTCATCACTCTCATCACCCTCATCACCCTCGTCACCCTCGTCACCCTCATCACCCTCGTCATCCTCATCACTCTCATCACCCTCGTCACCCTCGTCACCCTCATCACCCTCGTCACCCTCATCACTTTCAATAACCATCGTCACCCTCGTCACCCTCGTCACCCTCATCACCCTCGTCATCCTCATCACTCTCATCACCCTCGTCACCCTCGTCACCCTCGTCACCCTCATCACCCTCGTCACTCACATCACCCTCGTCACCCTCATCACCATCGTCACTCTCGTCACCCTCATCACCCTCATCACCCTCGTCACTCACATCACCCTCGTCACCCTCGTCACCCTCATCACCCTCGTCACTCACATCACCCTCGTCACCCTCGTCACCCTCATCACTCTCGTCACCCTCATCACTCTCATCACCCTCATCACCCTCATCACTCTCATCACCCTCGTCACTCACATCACCCTCGTCACCCTCGTCACCCTCATCACTCTCATCACTCTCGTCACCCTCATCACTCTCATCACCCTCATGACTCACATCACCCTCGTCACCCTCGTCACTCTCGTCACCCTCATCACACTCATCACTCACGTCACCCTCGTCACCCTCATCACCCTCGTCATCCTCATCACTCTCGTCACCCTCATCACCCTCGTCACTCTCGTCACCCTCATCACCCTCATCACTCTCGTCACTCCCATCACCCTCGTCACCCTCATCACCATCGTCACTCTCGTCACCCTCATCACCCTCATCACCCTCGTCACTCACATCACCCTCGTCACCCTCGTCACCCTCATCACCCTCGTCACTCACATCACCCTCGTCACCCTCATCACCCTCATCACCCTCGTCACTCACATCACCCTCGTCACCCTCGTCACCCTCATCACCCTCGTCACTCACATCACCCTCGTCACCCTCGTCACCCTCGTCACCCTCATCACTCTCGTCACCCTCATCACTCTCATCACCCTCATCACCCTCATCACTCTCATCACCCTCGTCACTCACATCACCCTCGTCACCCTCGTCACCCTCGTCACCCTCATCACTCTCATCACTCTCGTCACCCTCATCACTCTCATCACCCTCATCACTCACATCACCCTCGTCACCCTCGTCACTCTCGTCACCCTCATCACACTCATCACTCACGTCACCCTCGTCACCCTCATCACTCTCATCACCCTCATCACCCTCATCACTCACGTCACCCTCGTCACCCTCATCACTCTCATCACCCTCATCACTCTCGTCACCCTCATCACTCTCGTCACTCCCGTCACCCTCGTCACCCTCATCACCCTCGTCACTCCCGTCACCCTCGTCACCCTCATCACCCTCGTCACTCTCGTCACCCTCGTCACCCTCGTCACCTTCGTCACTCTCGTCACCCTCGTCACCCTCGTCACCCTCATCACCCTCGTCACCCTCGTCACCCTCGTCACTTTCGTCACCCTCGTCACCCTCGTCACCCTCATCGCTCTCATCACCCTCGTCACCCTCGTCACCCTCGTCACCCTCATCACCCTCGTCACCCTCGTCACCCTCGTCACCCTCGTCACTCTCATCACCTTCGTCACCCTCGTCACCCTCGTCACTCTCATCACTCACGTCACCCTCATCACCCTCATCACCCTCGTCACCCTCATCACCCTCATCACCCTCGTCACCCTCATCACTCACATCACCCTCGTCACCCTCGTCACCCTCATCACCCTCATCACCCTCGTCACCCTCGTTACCCTCATCACTCTCATCACCCTCATCACCCTCGTCACCCTCGTCACCCTCATCACCCTCGTCACCCTCATCACCCTCGTCACCCTCGTCACCCTCGTCACCCTCATCACTCACATCACTCTCATCACCCTCGTCACTCACATCACCCTCACCACCCTCGTCACCCTCATCACCCTCGTCACCCTTATCACCCTCGTTACCATCACCCTCATCACCCTCATCACCCTCATCACCATCATCACTCACATCACTTACTTGCTTGCAAGACTGATCTGTGGCGCTATAAGTGGAAGGTTGCAAGTTCAAATTCTGGTCAGGGGTTGTCTCAGCCCATCAGCCCTTTAGATCAATCAATTCAAGGAGAACCACATTGTGAGAAGCCTACAGTGGTAGGTCTATGGTTAGCCTCACCCTCACCATTGGAATGTAGAATTTCCACCGCGAGATTAGGCTTGCCAATGGAGATGAGCACCGCTCGCTCCACGCTTATTTGATCAGGGAACACTTTGGCTTTGATGGGAGATAATGTGACCATGCCGCGTGACCCCGCGACTGACCCGGCCGCTTCCCGGGCCAGCGAGCGACTTGTCGGTGTGCGTGCGGTGTCGCCGCAGCCCCCGCTGAGGTGAGACCCCCTCATGCTGCCCGCGCCATCACCGCCCTCTCGGCTGAGCTGCTGTGGGCCGCGCCGGCGGCGGTCACCGGTGTCGTCAGCTCCTACGAGCTCAGGGCCTACGACGCAGCCCACCCCGAGCAGCCGCCCGTCACCGCCGCTTTCACTGACACCGCCTCGTTGGACGGTGAGCCCGTGACGTGGTCTGTGAGGCGCGGACGCCTTGTTAGGCCCACGAGTTAGAACACCTCCACGAAGTTGGGAATGAGCCAGACACTCATGATGATCATCGTCACTTGCGGTGAATCTAGCACTTGCCCACGCGCTGATTTTAATCGCTCCGTCTCCTCGGTGAACGTGCTCTCCAATGAATTCCCTCCCTTGCTTGGCTGCCACTCCGTCATTATTCTTAAATATTGGCCAACATCCCTTGAGCCAGCTCCACACGGATTACGAAATGAGACGAGGAACAAAAACCGCCGCGTGCGTGAACGTGACTGTGCATGTCGATATTCTGCACGGTGGTAGGACTTGGAGATTCCTCCGGTAACGATTGTTCACCTCAGCCACAGCATTCATCATTCTATTGTAATACACAACCGGTAGCAAATTTTCCTTTTTGATAGAAAAAAATGAATGGTGTTGTAGTCCCGCCTGGCTTGTTAAGCGTGCGTGCGTGCGTGTGTATGTGTGTGCGTCTGCTGCAGCCCTGGAGGGGAGGCTGGAGGGTCTGACCCCGCACACCAATTACAGCGTGACCCTACTGGCCTGCACGCCGGGCGGCTGCACGGAGAGCAGCGCCTCCCTGCTCGTGCGCTCCGCCCCGCAGCAGCAGCAGCCGCAGCAGGGTCAGTGTCGGGGAATCCCTCGCGTCGCCACGCGGCCGCTCAGCCCTGCCGCCACCCTCGCCGCCCTCCTCCTCCTCCATGTCACTCGCTTCATTCCGTGTTGGTCGTGTGTGTGTTTGTGTGTGGCGCCAACCTGTGTATATTTAAGCTAGAAATCGTACTTGTCTGGCAATATAAAACATTATTTCCCAAGGGGGGGAGGGGGGTGTTAATCTTCTCGTGCGTGGCTAGTGGATTACTAATGGGTGGAACAAAAGGAGAAAAAATCCTGTCAGAATTCCTCTTAGCCGTGACCACCTCGCGAAGGCCGGGAGCTGTGAGCGTCAGAACAAACGCGATCGGCGGCGAGAGATCGGCACCCGCCGCTGGGTTTGGCCGGGTTGGGCTTCCCTTCGCTGAGCCAGAGCACAGCGAGCAGAGAGGAGAATTTCCCGAGGCATAATTGTTCCATTCATCTTGAAACGAAATGCATTAGGTGCGCTTCTTAAAGGGCCGACGCCATCAGAGACCATATTGAAAATTGATAGGCCTTTTAATTGCTAATGAATTTTCTGTGAAGAGATTTTAATTATAATTTGCTCAAGGCGGTGTGGCGGCTGGCGATTATTCCTGATAAGCTTCCAGTGGTATTTGGACAATGGCCAGTCTAGTTGCTGCGGGTGCGTGCACAGTGGAGACCTTGGAACAGGAGGAGGAGGAGGAAGAAGGGCCATTGTCACGCGCGCGCGTGTGCGTCGCCGCTCGAATCGATGCCGCGTGTTGATGGCATGCAAATTAAGAGCCGCGAAAGCCCTCTCCAGCGTGCCTACGTACATTTGAACAGTTAACAATAGTGTTTTTGCATAATTCAGCATTACCCGTTTAATTAAAATTAATTTATACTTCGAGCCAATTATTTGAAATGCTCAATGAGGTGATGCAGATGCAGTTAAACCTATGAATACTGTTGATTCATTTCCCACCCCGCCCCCCCATCCTCACCAGAGTCTCGTTGGTGTTGGGCTGCAGTGTTTTGATTCAACCATTGATAATATCTCCGGCTACATTTTTGTTACCATTTAAAGTGAGAAGAATTGCACAAGGAGCCGCACGCACGAGGTGATACAGTACGAGAATGCGCCAGCGTGTTGTTCATCTCCCGCCATGGCCTAGCAGCCGCAAGAGACCTGTTGTTCACCATCATCATCATGAACCCGAAGCAAAGCAACCGGGGCCCCGAACCTACGCGACTCTGGGCGTCCCCTCACGCGTGCTTCTGTGATGTGACCTTGGGGCATCGCCGTAGCTACCACATTGGAGGCATCGCCGGCGCAGCGGCCCAATTTGCTCTGTGCGGGATCTGCGTGGGTCATTACCCGAGTGGCATTGTAGTAATCTGTGAGAGAGCTCATCATTTCTTACAAGCTCCTGGCACCTGCCTCATGCGACGGTACAAAGACAGGATCCTGCGAAAGACGCATAGTTTTGTTTTCCGCCTTGTCGGTGGCGCAGGTGAATGTTTCATATTTCATGGGCAGAAGTGATAATTGATGATTATTATTATTGCTGTCTGCCTCCATACATTTGTTTCAAGCTGTGCTATGTAAGTGGATGATTTACTACACGTGGAAATGTCTGTGAGTGTATCTGGCTTAGTATTCGCCGTGTCATATTCAAAAATGTCGTCCCTGCATGTTCTGTCACAAACTCAAGCCTCTTTGTATGTAGGTATGTTGAACTTCTTTTGCACCGTACTAATCTGTGCCATCTCATGAACTCGGCTTTCCCTGCTGGGATTTTACTATCAGTGTGAACGAAATATACTGCTTCAATCAATCGGTCAGTTAGTCAGTTCACCAGACAATCAGTCATTCAATAAATCAATTCATCAGTCAAGCAGCTATTCAATCAATCTATGAAGACAATGCAACTCGGCGAGTCAATTCTTTAAATCAAGAGCTGGCTGTAGCTTGTGAAAAACACACAATCCCTCCAAATCTTGGCAGTAACTGTCGAAATACTCTTAAGTGCTCAAATACAAAATGGTACGATTACGGTACCAATGCCTCAAAGTGACATGATTGCAGTAACAGGGCCACGAAAAACAATGACATAAGCTAACAATGTGCAATGCAATACAATTTGCATTTTAACAGCGATTAAATGTGACCGCGTCCCTCGACGCTGTACAACACAGTGGGGTAATGCATATGAGAGGTGCCTGAGGAAAACTGGTGCTTGAACGTGCAAATACTGCATCACTTGTAGTCGTGGAAATACGCAGCCACGGCGTGAGGAAGTCACACCGAGAGCTCACGTGAATTGGTAACGTTTACTTCAGTGGGGGGCGTGTGTTTGCAAAAGAAGGGCGTGGGTGAGAATTGTGTTTGCTAAGAAAGATGTGGCTCTTGCGGGGACTGGTATATGGAAATATTACCGCAAGGCTCTATGGGGGTGACGAGCATAGGGGCCATCCATTTAGTGCGTACGCTCGGAGGGGGGAGGGGGGGATAACCCAAATGCACACGCTTGCGTATGGGGGGGGGGGTCTACTGACAATGTACATACGCAGAGGAAACGGGGGGGGTGGGTGGTGAAGCCTCGATAATAATTTGTCTACATTGGCCTTCAAATGAGTTAGATAATCCGGCGGTGGACTGTCTGTTTGTTTAAACGCGTTAATATTATTAATCCTTGATCGTTTCTGCGTGGATTAAATATCGGCCGTTCTATAGGATTCGGGGGGTGGGGTTGTAAAAAGTCCGCGTGCGTACAGTGAGGGGGGGAGGACTCAAGTTTTGACAGATTTTTCTGCGTACCTCCTCAATGGATGGCCCCACACAGCCCGTGTGCTGCGCTCGCATTCGCTGCCGCATTAAGGATGAATTATTCACTTCAAAGTAAATCGTTCAAGGCAGTAGGAAAGTTTTACTGGTAGGAACCTCCTGGTTACACCAGCCCACAAGGGATTTTTGTGTCCGTGCGTCGTGCAGGGAGGGGCTGGGTGGGGAGGGTGGGGCTGGGTTGGGAGGGGCTGGGTGGGGAGGGTGGGTCAAGGTGGGGAGGGGAGGGTGGGGAGGGGCTGGGTGGGGAGGGTGGGGAGGGGCTGGGTGGGGAGGGTGGGGCTGGGTGGGGGGTGGGAGGGGTGGGGCTGGGTGGGGAGGGGCTACGTCACCCCGTGGTGCCCTTATAAAACTCAACGTTTAACCTACTCACGCCGGCTTGTGCCCGCCCTCACAGTCGGCCATATTTGCGGAATACACCACGCCGCCGTTGACCCTGGCCATTGAACGAGCAACCCAACGTTCCTACCAGCTCCCTCCGCAGGAATGTGTTGACGCGTCGCGAAGTTCTGAGACCGGGGCCGCCACCGCGAGCCTTAGTCGGGTTACCGCCACCCCAAATCTTCGTCACCGCGGCCGCCCTGCGGTGATTCTTGTGAGCGGGGGTTGTTGGGACGCGGGGCGAGGAGGGTCTAGCGATGGCCGCACTGGCAGCTTCTCAGGGGTCATCCATTGAGTAGGCACGCAGAAAAATCTGTCAAAACTTGAGCCCTGATCCCCCCTCCCTGTACGCACGCGGACTTTTTACGCCCCCCCCCCCCACCTGCGTACGTACGCTTGACGCATCCCACCCCCGAATCCTATAGAACGGCCGATATTTAATCCACGCAGAAACGATCAAGGATGAATAATATGAACGTGTTTAAACAAACAGATAGTCCACCTCGTAGATAGTCCACCGCCGGACTATCAAACTCATTTGAAAGCCAACGTAGACAAATTATTATCGAGGCTTCACCCCCCTCCCACGTTTCCTATGCGCACATTGTCAGTAGACCCCCCCCCCCATACGCAAGCGTACACATTTGGGTTAACCCCCCCCACCCTCCACGCTCAATGGATGCCCCCTCGCCCCGCGTGCCCAACAGCAGCAGCGGCAGCGCCCGAGGCCGTGACGGCGCCCGTGGCCGTGGCGAGCGCCACCTCCCTGCTGCTGTCGTGGCCGCCCCCGCCACGTGACCCCCGCGGGGTCACCGCCCGCTACTCGCTCTACCGGGACGAGGCGCTCGTCTACCAAGGCGCGGGGCGAGCCGTCAACATCACAGGTCAGCGGCGCAGGGAGAGGGGGGGGGACACACCCGAATGGCCTTCCTCTGTCAGCCGTCTCACGGTGCAGTAGCCTCGTTTGCATGGGCACCTGAAGGGTCGTCCATAAATGACGTCACGCGATTTTTGACGATTTTTGACCCCCCCCCCTCTCGTCACACGGCGTCACAAAAAGTCAGACCCCCCCCCCCAATATGACGTCACGAACCTCTGCCCCCCAAAACCATATTTCCATTTTGAAAAGGAAACATGCTTCAAATCGCGTTAAACTATTGTCATTGTAGTGCGTATTTAATGTGGCGCTGCATTCTTATTTTGTAGGAGAAAACATTTATTTAAAAGTCTATTAAGTAGAACGCGTTGTCTATATTTATTTAAAGTTGCGCATTTTGATGTGACGTCACATTTCTCACCCCCCCCCCCTCGTCACACATCGTCACAAATGTCTGACCCCTGATTCAAGGAATTAAATTGGGCCACCCCCCCCCCCCCACTGTTCAGTTTCCGTCCTTTTTGCAGCTCCGCGTCTGGGTTTTTTTTCCATCCCAGCTTAGGTGTGAAATTATTTCAAGGAAATCTAGAAATGACGAATGATAACATTAGTCCCTTGTTTACACAGAAAAGAAAGAAAACTCGTTGCATTTAAAGATGATTTCTGGAGGGTTCTGAATTGTAATTCCTTGAATGATTATTTTTTATTAAGAAGAAACTAAAATACTTGGTGAAACACACACATTTCAGGGTTAAACGCTACAAATATGCACAATGCCTGGGCTACGTTGTAGCCTTGCATACTCGGCATCTGGATCTCTGGACGGTCCACCACACCTGCTTGTAAAGCAGTGGCGCTTCACCTGCGGCGCACGCAACCCCTGGGGGTACGAGATGCCCTCTCTGGAGGTGTGAGCCATGGCAGATATTTATATTTTTGTAAGTTAAATCATTTAAAAAGATGTGTGACGAGGGGGGGGGGGTTGATAAATGTGGCATCACATCAAAATGTGCAACTTTAAATAAATATAGACAACACGCTCTACTTAATTAAATCGACTTTTAATAAATGTTTTCTCCTACAACATCAGAGTGCAGCGCCACATTAAATACGCACTACAATGACAATAGTTTAAAGCGATTTGAAGCATGTTTTATTTTCAAAATGGAAATATGGTTTGGGGGGGGGCAGAGCTTTGTGACGTCATATTTGAGGGGGGGGGGTTTGACTTTTTGTGACGCCGTGTGACGAGAGGGGGGGGGGGTCAAAATCGTCCAAAATCGCGTGACGTCATTTATGGACGGCCCCTAATAGTAAAACTACTTTGTTTCATCAAACTATTTGTATTTTATAAACATTGTGACTGTCTTAACGATTGAGACGCAAAGGGGGTGTGCGAGGCCGCAGTAAAGGTTACGAGCCACTGCTCTAGAGCACCGCGTGACACAAAACGACCAAACATCCTCCTCTTGTGGCAGGGACATCCCCGAGTTTAGACAAGAGCTTGCATCTTGAATCCCTGCCTCACTTGATGCAGCAAATCTGGCTGTGACGGTCCCACCTGATGACGGAGACTTGAGTTGCCTCCGAAACGTCGTGATTTTTATTTTATTTTTATTAATTTTAATTTCATTTTTTACCTACGTGACTTTACCGAAAGAACTAAGAGTATGAATCCTTGCAGTCACGAAAGCTTCAAATCTAGAATTGAAGGGGTGGGGCTTTCTGAGTAGTAGGCATGATTAGGAGAGGGGGCGGGGGGGGGGGCTATGAGCAGTGGGTGGTAGCCACTCACGTTGTGGGCGTGGCTCTGTGAAGGTACCGCAAACTCGTGCATAACAGTCGACGTTTCGAGCAATGGCCCTTCATAGCGCGCATCAGTAAAGAAGGGCCATTGCCGAAACGTCGTCTATTATATATCTTTTACTTTTCAAGCGGCCTTATTGATGAACAGGTTGATTTTTTATTTAGTTATGTTTGTGCACCACTGCCAACGCAGTAACAGCCAAAATAATTGCCGTAAAAACTGTGCGCCACGTGTCCCAGTCGAGCCTGCCAGCAATGTTAATAGCTTTAGGATTACAGGCACTTGTGTGTGTGCGCCCCAAACCCACCTCCCATCGCGTGGACCCCATGTGTCTCCGCCAGGCCTGGGGGTCTTCTCCGTGCACACATTTGTGCTCTCGGCATGCACGGAGGGCGGCTGCACTAACAGCTCCGCCGTGACGATCACCACCGCCCAGCTCCCACCGACACACGTAGTGGCACCCACACTCACCGTGCTGGACGCACGCTCCATCACCGTGCGGTGAGTCCATCACCCTCACGTGACTCCATCACCGTGCGGTGAGTCCCATCACCTTGTGGTGACTGCATCACCATGCGGTGAGCCCATCACCCTCACGTGACTCCATCACCGTGCGGTGAGGCCGACACCGTGCAGTGAGTTCATCATGACATATATCCATCGTTGCCATTTTAGTTCAAAATCGTTAGTTCACTGAAAAGCAGATGAAGAAAACAAAAAATGCACGTGTAATTTTTTTTTTTCTGGGCTAGTCACATTTACTTAAACATAAATAATTCTAAGTATGATGTAGTGTGTTTTTTTATGAATACAATAGCTACTGCTATGAATGTGGCGATTGTACAGGAGCGCCCCACTCGGGGTTGTGTGAGGATCCGACCTTTGACCCCTTGCAGGTGGAGTGAGCCCCTGGAGCTGAACGGGGAGCTGCACTGCTACGAGCTTTACGCCATCGGGGACAAGCCCGGGCAGGAGGAGGAGGAGGGCTCCACATGGCCTGGTGATGGAGAGAAGCCCCCAATGTGGCCTAAGCAGGTGGTCGAGGTGCATTTTGAGAAGGATGAGGGCCAGCAAGAGGCGGCCGTGGCTGGAGGAGGCGACCCTCTGCCCTTGCCAGCTCTGGCCTACGGGAAGCTCCTGTACAGCGGCGGAAACGCTACCCTGGAGCACCGTCTGCGGCAGCTCATCCCCGGAACTCTGTACCAAATCCGGGTAGCTGTGAGTGTCCCTCTGCACCGCTCTTCAACACGATCGTTGCCACGTGCTACAGCTCAATTTGTCACGCTTTGTAGCTCAGTTACGTCGCATCAAAACCAACACTTTGTTGTTGATGTTTCGTTTCCCGTGGCCGTGGATTACATGCGCATGTAGAGCCATTTGGTAATGCACCGCAACATGAGGACCTCCATCACGCAATACAGGTAGTTTGACCATACTTCACCACGCCGGTGAGTGTGGTTTGGTGAAGGCGAGGGAACACAGAAGTACAGTGCAACGCCGGACTTTGCTGCATGGCTATCAATGGGCCAGGATGCAGCCCGATTGTAACTTGCGGTGAGCGTGAACGTGGATCGAGGCGGCGGGCGTGCATGCGTGCTGTGCGTGGCGTTGGCGCGCTGTTCGCAGGCGTGCACGCGCGGCGGGTGTCGCGTCAGTGAGCCGAGTGCCGCCCGCACGGAGGAGGCGGCTCCGGAGGGGGTGCCGCTGCCCGTCGTGCGGTCCCCAGCTTCAGGCTCCCTGCTCGTGTCCTGGGGCCCACCCGTCCGGCCCAACGGTGACAGCACTCGCAAGCCCGCGCGCCAGCCCACGCGCCAGCGTATACGACACGCACAACAACGGGCACACTGGCATTCGCATACGTGCCAAAGCATACGCACCGATATATGTACACCAGCGTATGCACAACCGCGTACTGCAACATCGGCAGCAAGACACAAGCCAACATATATGCGTGGCCCAAAGACAACGACACTCACGCACATTGTATCTCAGGCATTGGGTCCGTTGGTAGCCATGCGGCAATGGGGAAAATTCCACGTTCCCATGGTGAAGGGCGGTATTTAGAAAGGCAACCACTTTCCACAGAGTTACATTTGAAAAAAATATATATACATTTTATTGAAAACAAATTACAGAATGTGCCTCAAGTGGCTAACCAGTCATAATGCAGACATTATTCCTTGTAAAAGGTTTCAGTTTGGTGTTTTAACATCTTAACACAACTGTTTTATTGCCAGAAAAAAGGGGAAAACCTATTCGCATATTTTGATACTGGCAAAGGAGGTCCCATAATGCCTAACCAAGACTGAACATTTGCCTTTCTCATGTTTTGCGTTGGTAATAGAAGGATGTGATCATCATTGGGCTGCAGTGGATGCCGCTCTGGACTCCATTTGATCAGCTTTTCCCAAATCGCGTCATTGCGTCACAAAGCGAAACTCCCACTACGTCTCGCACAGGAACACACGTCTTCGCGAACCCACACGATGAGCAGCAATTCAGTGCAAGCGTCCCCCTCTCAATGTTTGGTTGCATTACTGAATCAAAACAGTTGGTTCTTAATCCAAAACCAATGCAGAGTTTTACATGCACAAGCTTGCGTATAATGTACGGCATTGTGAAATATACAAAACTGTCTAATCATTCGTGGCTTGTTGCGCTACCGAGGTCGCCTCGACCGTGGCTTCGTTGGCAACTCGGGCGCTTTCCCGGCCGTCTGCTGACACCTGCTGGGCTTGCAGGCGGCTGCCGCAGTTTGGCGCTCTCGCCAATAAATGGAGCATATCGCGGGCATTACCGCGGCTCCTCCAACGGCGCCGTCGGTTAACGCGGTTGACGGTGTGCCTTGGCAGGGGCGATCACGAGCCACGGGCTGCTGATGAACGGCAGCCTGGTGCACGACTCGCCGCACTCCATGAGCTACCGCGCCACCGGGCTCGCGCCGTGGAGCCCGCACACGCTCAGGGTGCGCGCGTGCACGGCGCGCGGCTGCTCTCTCGGAGCCCCGGTGAGTCCCGGCTTTGGGCTCGTCACCCCCACGGCTCGGTCACGGGGCGGCACGCCATGCCTCACGGGCCTCGCTCGTGCACGCCGATCAGCGACGTACGCCGACATCGCTGCTATTGCGTACTTGCAAACAATCTGTCAATGCGGAGCAAATTGTCCGCGCGGTGCGGACATCGACTCGAGCAGGAGGAGGAGGTGCGCACATGAAGGATGTGATCATAGAGCAGGGCTTGGCACGGGCGTGCCACCGCACTCGGCGCTCGGCCCCGTGTCGGTGAGGCACGGGACCCAGGGCTGGTCTGTGCGTGAGCGAGTGCGGGCTCCGCAGCGTGGGGGACCGGCCGGTCAGCGCTTGACCCCTATTTGTCTGGTGCGCCGTGGGTGCCCTAGCTTCATATTCCGCTTCCGGAGATACGAGCTGCAAATTTTCCCTTAGAGAGCCCCCTTACTTACCTGCAATATTGCTGCTAAAATTAGCATTAACACCTAGTGCCTAGCAGGCACTTTATGCTCGAGTGTAATAATTTACAGTCTCTGTGGGTGATGCTAATGAGCCATGCCTCTGGGGTCCTCCGGAACGAGCTCAAAGCAGAACCAGCAAACTTGATATGTAGCTGATTAATGTTCAGCAGTGTCCAGTTAGAAGCAGCTCATTTAAATAACTATTTTTAGAAAATTGATTTTGGCTGTCTGTGAATGGAGCTCTGTTTGCTTTATTGGAGTAAAACTCTTAGGATGGCAGAAATGTATTATATCTCTCCACCAGTATAAGCTACACTTGTTTGTCTTGTGACAACTGGAATGGCACAATTTTGGGCATTTTGTTACATGTATGTATGTGTCCATGCATGCACGATTCCCGCTCACGGCCAACACTCGTGATGATAATCTGAATCTGTCCTGGGCCTCCGCTTGGTCGACTCAGCCTCAAATGATTACCTGGTGCGATGTGTGAACATTGCCACTGGGGAGACGAAGGCGGCTGGGTGTGGTGGTGGCCACCCACCCCTTCGTGTGCTGTGCCGGCCTTCACAGCACTTTCCCCAACAGTCTGTTCAGGCTAGAGGGGGAATCTTAGACTCTTGTGCATGCATGCCTGCATTCAGGCATGTGTGCTTACACACCACAAGGTGGTGCATATGCCAGTCCTGTTCCGTGGCCACTTGCAAACAAGCGCTTGACACTTCGCTTCCAAAGTGCGCCTAGCCTGGCGCAATAACTGCGGCTAGTGGCAGTCGTCATTGTGGGTGCTTCCGTGCAATGGTTTGTGTGCGTGTGTCTGTTCTTGTGTCTAACCCTGACCCGTACCCGCGCAGGTGGAGGCGCGCACACAGGAGGCCGCCCCTACAGGTCACGTGGAGCTGAGAGTGGCCACAGAGGACGCGACTCGGGTCACGTGGCTCGGACCCGCGCAGCCAAACGGACGACTCACCTACAGCCTCACGTGCGTGGGGCCCTTCCACAGCCGCCCTGGTGGGTGGCTTATGCGACAGGTCACACACACAAAGATAAAGACCACGATCCTCCGATTAGCCTCAACAGACTTTTGGGGCAAGTGCTGCCAGCGAGTAGCACCTAAGAAGGTTGGCACGGCACACACGTACACACACACACACACTTCACGTGCGAGCCGACTCTGAGTTAAAGCCCGTCCTGCCACAAAAACATTGTCCTCAGACATTGAGTATCAATTAAACATTTGCTTTCCTAATCAATATTCATGTGTAGCTGGGATGTAAATATTAACCCTCCCAAGGAATTGATGGATTTTCACAATTCGGGGGTCATAATTTGCTTCATGAATGCATTGTTTAACTTATTTTTCCCAATCTCATATTCTTGGAAATAATTTCCCTTCTACGTGACCTTACCGAAAGAACCAAGGATATGAATTCCTGCAGTCACGAAAGCTTTAAATCACAATTTCCCAATCTCGTTAGCATTGATCTTAAATGTTTTCCTCTTACTTTATTTTCCCCAAATATATAGGTTTCACTTATTATTTAAGAAATTATAATTTTTCACACAAATTCAATGTTTGTCGGCGTCGGGATCGATTTTAACAAATTCATTTTCGCGACCCCTCCCCCCATCCCCGGCCCTAACGCGTGAACGCGTCGCACGTTCACGCGTTTCCAGAGAGCGGTGACTCGAGCGTGGTGGAGGAGTCCCGCGAGGTCCACAGTGGACACGAAGCCGGCGTGTGGGTGTTGGTGCGAGGCCTCGTGTCCCTGTCGTCCTACTCCTGCTCCGTGAACGCCTCCAACAGCCACGGCCACGTCCTGAGCAACCGCGTGGCCACGCGCACCCCAGCCGGCGGTCAGCTGAGGCCGTGTGTCGCACGGCACAGCGCACCCTGCTCATGGCGCACGGCACTCGTAGTGCACGCCACTCCTAGCACGCTGTGTCATAAATCACAGCATTTGACACAAAACACGTATATTGGGGGTTCAAAACCCACAAACTTGGGTCTATTACATGACTATGTCTTCTCGACAGACCTGTTCTCCACCTGAGGACAGCTGCTTGCGTTGTGGCAGAAACGTCGTGAGAATGATTGTATTATGTTTTATTTTTATTATGTTATTATTTCCACTCTACGTGACTTTACCGAAAGAACCAAGAAGATCTATTACATGTGTTTGTCGGAAGCATTTCGACAAGATGAATTCTAAATTGCGACGGAATTATTTTCCTGAGGCCATTGCCTTCTCCGCTTGCTTGTGCTGCCCATCTGCTTCCCCACGCGCGCTGCCCCCCGCGCGCCACCCCCTGCCCGCTGCCCCCCGCGCGCTGCCCCGTCTGTTTCTCACTCACGTCCCGACGGTGCGCGTGTGCGCAGCCCCTGACGGCGTGCAGGCCCCGAGCCTGACAGCTGTCAACTCCACGGCCGTGCGGGCGACGTGGGGGGCCCCGGCCCCGAGCAGTGCCCCGGGGGAGCTGCTGTACCAGCTGCAGATGCGCAGAGCAGGTGTCCCCGATGGCGTCGCAGAGTAAGACGCCACTGTTGCTGCCGCTGCGCTTAGTGGCTCTGCGGAGGCCATCGCCCCCGAGAAGCTCGCAATAAGCGCCGCGTTGTTATGGGCTCAGTAACCTCAGTGCCAAACACAAGCGCTCATTTTAGCTTTGTGTTTTTTTGTTTATTGTACCGGTGCTCTGGTCTATTACCGTGTAAACTTTGCACGGGTGCGAGTGGCCGTACTTTTTTGTCCCAAAGTGGAAATGAGCGCAGAGTGGAATGCTGATGCTGTGGCGTACGTGCTGGTCTCTCTCCCCTCTCTCTCCCCTCTCTCTCCCCTCTCTCCCCTTGGCCGCAGTCTCTTCCTGGCACCGTCCACAGCCTCCAGTATCACTGCGGCCGCACTGCAGCCTCACACGCGCTATGAGTTTAGATTAATTGCGTATAACAATGTTGGCAGCGGCACGAGTAACTGGAGCCAAGTGGCCACACACGAGGACTGTAAGTAGACGATGTACTCTCTGTTATGGGCCTCTGTGTGAATCCTTACACTGTTAAATGCGGTTCATTAAAATTAATACGAATTTTACTTTGAACGCTTCGTCATTAGACAGCTGTGCATTGCTTTCAAAAAATATAAATGGATTAGTTTATTTCATATGTTCTGCAGTTGCGTATTTAATTGTGTGCCCATGTTGCACCCTGGCAAGTCATCATCCCTGAGCAAGTGAGAGTGACGTGCGTTGCGGTGAGACTCTGCTTCACTGGCTGTATGCTAAAACCTCCAGCTCCTGGAGCTATGGAGGCCCCCACGGTGTCCGTCCTGGACTCCAGCACCGTGCTGCTGCGGTGGCAGCCCCCGGCGCAACCCAACGGCAGGCTCTCCCACTACGGCGTCTACTGCAACGGCTCCCTCTGCGGCTCCGTGCCCGGCATCGGCACGGAGCTGGCTTTCAGAGCGGGCGGCCTCCGCCCCTTCTCGCCGTACGCCTTCGCCGTCGAGGCCTGCACGCTGGCGGGCTGTTCCCGCTCGCCGGATTCCTTGCCGGTTCGCGCCCTCCCTGCCGGCCCTGACGAGGTGCCGCCGCCGCCGCTGCTGCGCTCCCGCACGCCGAGCTCCGTGCTGGTGACGTGGCGCCGCCCGCGGCGGCCCGGCGGCCGCGTCGCGCTGGAGCGCCGCCGCGCCGGCTCGCGGCTCGCCTCCGCTGTCGCCACGTGGCCGCCGCCGCCGTCGAACGACGAGGGAGACGCAGCTGGAAAAGAGATGGAGTATTTGGACGAGTCGCCCGACCTCGTTCCGTGGACCGCGTACGAGTACCGCGTGCTGGTCGGCACCGCCGGTGGCGTTGCGGCCGGCAGCGAGTGGAGCCGGGTGACAACGCGACACGCGCGCCCCGCCGGGCTGCGGCCGCCTCGCTTGGAGGTCTTGGGGCCCGACAAGATTTACGTACGTCCCCCGAGCACGCGCCTCGCCCGCACCTCCCGGCAGCGCAGCCGCGCGCACGGCCCTCACCGGCACGTGCCGACTCCGCAGGTGCAGTGGGCGCCGCCTCTGCAGCCCAACGGGCGGCTGGCGCGCTACGAGCTGCTGGCGCAGGGCACGCGAGCGGCGGTCGGCGACTCCTCGGTGCTCGCCCACACGCTCACGGGCCTCGTCCCCTTCACCGACTACGCCGTCAGCCTCCTGGCCTGCTCCAGCGGGGGCGCAGACCTGCCCGAGATGGCGGGGGGCCGCGCAGACAGGCTGGGAGACGCGGTGGGCACGCATGCGGCAGAAGAGGCGCTGTGCACGGAGAGCGATCGGTCCCACGTTCGTACCCCCCCGGCAGCCCCCGAGGGGGTCGTTCCGCCTGTGGCCACGCCCGCAAGCGAGTCCCTCGTCGTCCTGTCCTGGCAGCCGCCCGCCCGGCCCAATGGACCCCGGCTACGGTAACCGAGGCCGGCAGCGTTTGCTGCGTCGTGCAGCGGTGGCGTGGTCGTAGAGCTCACGCTGCTGACATCTACGCACGTGATCGCTTTCTGTCACACCTTTACACAAAACACGTAATTGCAGATGGACAGTGGTTTAACGGTAATCAAAGTTTGAGAGAATAAAAGAAATGTTCGCTGTGCTTGGAATACAATGGCCTTGCTACCAAGAGGCAAGAGGTCTGTGTATCGTGCTCTGGCAATTTGCGCGCGGTGAGAGGCGTTCGAGAAGCGTGAGAAGCATGCGCCGCGTGCCGTGCGCTCTGCAGATACGAGCTTCTCCGCTGCAAAGTGGAGCAGCCCCTGTCAGCGTCTCCTCCGAGAGACATAAACCTGTGGATGAGCATTTATCTGGGAACAGATCTTTCCTTCGAGGATAAAGGACTCAGCAGGTAATTAATGGATAACGATTCCTCGAGGCACCGGTTTCATGGCGCTGGCATTGTTTAGAGTCGTGATTTATGTGATTTACGATGCTGGGTGTCTGGGCTCCGTTACTGCTACTACGACTTGCAACCTCCCCCCCCACTCCCTACCCAAAAAAAAAGCACACAGCCTGGGACGCTTTACAAAGTGCTTCACCGTTAGACTTTGTCACTCGAATCTAGCGGCGCATTAAAATTCTGTTTCACGGTTGAGCAGCTGGAGTTAGCGCAGCACTGCAGTGTGTGTGGCAAGCGGTAGTGTAGCGGTAGTGTAGCGGTAGTGTAGCGGTAGTGTAGCGGTAGTGTAGCGGTAGTGTAGCGGTAGTGTAGCGGTAGTGTAGCGGTAGTGTAGCGGTAGTGTAGCGGTAGTGTAGCGGTTTGCACGCTGCGCTACAAACCCAGAGGCCCGAGTTCGATTCCCACTCACGGTCAACATAAGTGACGATTACCTTAATTCCCACAAGTGGCAGCCTGAGACGAGCCCGAAGTATATTTACAGATCTTTTGTCGATCCGCCGCTGGATGAGGGCCTCTCCACACTGTACGGGTCATGGAGGTTATTTGACCATACTTCACCACGTTGATTAGTGTGCGTTGGTGAAGGTGTAAGGCACAAACGTGGCAGTATATAAGTACAGTATAACACAATATTTAGCTTCCCTGCCTAACAATTAACCACTGCAGCCTGGAACAAGCTGTTGTGCATGGTGGTCACACATCCAATACTTAATCACGCTCAAACCTTCTTAGTTTCCAAGATCTGAATTGTGGGCACATTTACTGTGATTTGGCCGTAAGCAGACCCCATAGCATATGGGTTGCCTACTCAAACCCTACGTTTGCCGAATACATTCACTTCTACATCCTTAGAGCAGTTGGCTTGCTGGCTGTTTCACCGCGTGCGTGGCCTTGACACGTCTCCGTGGCTGGGCTCGGCAGGTTCACACGCTACGCCTACCGCCTGCTGGTGCACAACACGGCAGGCTCGGCAAGCAGCGCACCCGTGCTGACCGACACCCTGGCCGGCGTGCCCCTGTCCGGGAGCCATCTGGAAGCATACGCCCTCAACCACACGGCCCTGGAGGTCAACTGGACCCGCCCCGGTGCGTCGCAGCCTTGAGCGCGGTTCTCTAATACTCAGACAAGAGCCCATTGAGACCACACATCACACCGCAATTGCCGTTCCCTCCTGATAAACTGTGCGGTCATGGTCGTTGACAAAAGGTAAAATTCTAAATGTAGTTGATAAGCAGACTGGTTGTCTGACACGCACACGTTAGTCATTAATTCTTCGTGAAATCACTGCCTTGTATTGATTCGGTGTTTAGAATATTTTGCTTTCTAAGACTTTCTGTCAACAGTCACTCCGTGGAAAGTGGCTCATTCAGCGATGCTGCCCCCATTGTTCACAAATGCCTTCCCCCACCATTTGTGCTGTCGACCCCCCACCCATTCTATGCCAGGTTCATGAAGGACTGCCTCCCTGCTTCTCTGCACAGCATCTTGAAATGCGGTCGCACTTAGATCCCGTTATACATCCACGTATTGTCCTATTGCTACGAGAGTGGCATTGCATGGGATGTGTCTGGGGTGCCGGCGTGCGTGCCTTGACAGGACTCGTCGAGCTGCAGGGCGCCGTCACCGCCTACACCGTCTCGATCAACAGCAGCTTCTCCGCGCGCTCCCTGCAGTTTCCGCCGGACGCAGAGCGCGCGGTGATCACGGGGCTGAGCGCCGGCACGCTGTACCGCGTCTCGCTGTCCACGTCCAACGGGGCCCACGCTGCCACCAGCAACACACTCCACGTGGTCACGCCCGACGGAGGTGAGCGCCGGGCGAGACCCCCCCGTGCTCTCGGGGAAGAGGGGGGGGGACAGAGTGAAGAGAAGAAGCAACACCGAGGCAATCGATTTTTCGTGAGGGCGCGGGGGGCAAGTGGGCCTCTCATCTTCGCTACGCTAACATTTCCTGTTGCTGGCCGGGGGCAGGTCAAGTGGTAAAAGCTTTAGTTGTCACAAGACGAGAAATCAATAGTGGTCCCAGCGAGAGGAGCACGGGGACCCTGGGAGTTGATGCTGTGAGGGAGCGATTGGCAGGGGCGACCACGCGCGGGTCACGTCGCTTCAATGCAGCTCGTGCACTCGGCCTGAGAACATTCTGAAGAATATCGCTGTTGTGTCTCAGGGTGCTTTTTGTGCGTGATAAATTAATTAGTAGAATGCTTAAACATGCAATGTACCCGATAACAGACAGCATCACTTGTCGTGGTGTTTGTGGCATGTTTCACAGCCTACCAGTCACAAAGTCAATGGCATTAAACAAATAATGACAAAACAATTCATTCCATCCATGTCACATTTTTTCCACCAACAAAAAAACCACCACGAGCAATTTATCACCAACAGGAGTGCATTTTAAAAGCAAAACGGCGATATTTGTGATTATCGTACGACCATCGATTACCGCTGAGCTGTGTTTGTGCGTGCGGATCCATCCAACGTGTGCACGACAGAGCCGCGGTTTGGCGTTTGTGGACACGAGCGAGGGGTTTCCGGCGCGCGGCCCCGCGGTGTTCAGACTCGTGTGCGCCGCATCTCAGTGGCGCATTAACGTGTCTGGGCAGTGTTTGCGTATCGTGCCTCTCTGGCGTTCACGCCGAGGCAGACTCTGCCTCCCAGGTGCTCACACGTCCGTGCGGAATGTCTCAATGGTATTTTACATTTCCGCGCAGCGCTCATGTCGCGCGACATGCATCGGTGTCTGGGCAGAATTTGTCGATGCAAAAAAGGGACGATCTCGCAGAATCATAACCTGTATTTATCCTGGAGAAATCCGATGAGCTATGAAGCTCTTCTTCACAAGATGTCCAGTAGGAGCAGGTCGGAAACGTATGTCTGATACACCGATGACATCATTATGTGTGTTGAACTTTTTCACACCGTACGTAGCAAACCGCGCTAATCGGAAGTGCAGAGGAAGGACCACAAACTAAACACAAAAAGAAGTTCTAAAGAAATTAGTTTTCCATACAGATTTAAAAGTGCATAGCTCCTGTGGCATCCTAATATCAGAAGGAAGAGCGTTCCAGATAGCCGGAAAAGCGCATCTGAAAGTGTGCGATGTGGTGACTGACTTTTTTCGATGGCGAGCCATAAGCCGCTGCGAGGATGACCGAGATCATCAATTACGAGATCAGCAAGGTAATAACTAATCATGGAAATGAGTGACGGGGAGTTATTGAAGAACTTAACAAAAGAGTGCTGCAATGTGCGGCACGATATATATATATATCTGAGCAAAACAAATGTCAGGTGCAGCAAGTTAATTGAAAATAAAAAATATTGCGGTTGGAGGGAAACAACTGGAAAACACTGAAAGCGTCATATCCAGCGGCATTATTGAAGGTGGTCTATTATCCAAATGATGAAATAAAGAGGGAAGGAAAGCAGAATGGTGTGCTTTTGGAAAACTGAAATGGATAATGAAAAGCAACTTCGTGGAAAGGAACAATTTCAATCGGTGCATATCACCTGCCACATGTGTGTGATCAAAAGCATGGGCAATCACAAAGGAAAATGGAACAAAGGCTGACGAGCACCCAAAGATGCATGGAGAGATGCAAGCTGGAAATGATACTGAGAGACGGAGAAAGGAACACCTCGATCAAGGGAACAAACAGAATCAGAGACAACACATTGACTCTTTAGGAAAGTAAGTGAGATTGGGAAAGGAACATGATTAGAAGGGACGATGGTCAATATACAAGACCGGTAACTGAATGGCAGCCAAAGCAGGGAACACACCCTATAGGATGTAAAAACTAAGAATTATTTTTATTTCACCAGGTAAAGCCCCACAGAGCTATGAAGCTATTTTTCAGAGGCAACGTGGTCACAAATGATAGCGCAACGACGTGGCTTATCATGTGAGAATTTATAGCAGCCAAATACTCGAAACGCGTGTTTCTAAACGTGGAGGGAAGAGGCGCCAGGGTCGGGATCGAACCCGTGACCTCCTGTACACCAGGCGACAGAGTTAACATCTCCTAGCCACTGACGAGATTGGAGTGGCGAGATCTGGTCGTGTGCAACAGCAATACGGATTGAAGCATTGCAGGGCTGTATGAAATGGAGACATCAATGGGGCAGGCCGTCATCCACCAGTGGCTAGATCATGGCTTCGTTTTTTGGTTTGGCCCTGTTTGTTTGTTGTAGTACGGAGTTAGACTGATGGCCTTAATCTGAGTTGTCTTGTGGTTTTTGTTGTTGTTTGACTTGCATCCCACTGGGATTTTTGCACACAGCGTTGGTGTACGGTATTATTATTACTTTTATTCATTTTAATTTTATTTTTTTCTACGTGACTTTACCGAAAAAACCTAAGAGTATGAATCCTTGGCAGTCACTAAAGCTTCAAATCTAGAATTGGTGTACGGTACTTTTTTCTGGAATTTTTGCTCCTTTTTTTCCTAGAATTTCAGTTTGCACTTAGTCACATAGTCACTTTAAGATGTTTTCTTGTTCATGTTTTAGGTTTTAGTTTGTCGCGGTTGCACCCGATTCAAGAGCCGAATGGCTCACAGGGCTACACCAAATAAATGAACTTGAAAAATGAACTTGAAATGGCTGATGTCGAAGGTGTTCACACAAACACGGGCCGCGTCTTTGCAAAAATGTACATTCGTGTGCTCCTTGTCCGTGATGTAAGCTCCCTGCCTGTCCGCGCGGTGCCCGCTTCCCCGTCAGTGCCGGAGGGGTTGGCGCCCCCGCAGGTGGAGGTGCTCAACGGCACGGCGGTGCGCGTGGCGTGGGCCGCCCCGCCCCGCCCCCACGGCCTTGTGACGTCATACGCGCTGGTGCTGGATGGGCACCGGCGCAGCACCGGCTTCCGGGAGCCCGGCTCCGCCATCGTTGGCGACCTCCAACCCTTCACCGCTTACGCCATACAGGTTGCGACCCTGCGTGGCGTGGATTGCAAAGGTCGACTTGCGTTGGGGAGTGCTCATGTCTCTTTTTGGGGCTCAGCCAGTTATGTAAATTCCACATTACTGTGCCAGGGCCAGTGTGAACCAGAGTACAAGAACTCATGGCTTCTTACAAAGTGGTACTGATTTTATCACTCTGGAGGGATGTTGATGGCCTGAGTTGACTCTTGACCGCGATCCGAACTGATGACCTTGCGGATGTGAGCTGCATACTTTTGCCGAAGCGACATCCAGCGCAGGTTGTAAAAATATCCCTTCTAAATAAAGGGGGGTTTGCATTGAGTGTAATGTTATTGTCACATGCACTTAGCATAATTATTTTAAACAGCTTGTCAAAAAGTATTGCTTTTACATGGCCTGCTGCTAATGAGTAATGATTCGCAAAGTCAATGATTGAAACATGCTCATGGAACTTCATAAGCAACCGGTAATTAAATCACTCGAGTGCTTTGTATAAATATAGCTTTGGAAGCGTCTTAAAAAGATTGAATCCACAGAACAGCAGAGGCCCTCTAATCTGGATTAATTATCAGCAGAATCTAACTGGACTCACAAGAACCGCTGACAATTGGACGGCGATTATAAAACCCAGGCAGGGCAAGCGATGCCTTGTATGCAGGATACATGTCGCATTTGGGGAGCAGTCAAAATATTATTGTAATAGTATCATTGAGATACGGGTCTCATGTGTCAGTACGGTCGTGTGGTCACCTGTGCTGCAGATGATCTTGTGTGACGGTGCCACGCGGAACCACGAGGGTTGAGGATGGGGGTGGCTTTCACAATATTCCTCGTGCTGAGTTGGCGGCGTGAGTTCATCTCCAGTAGTCTCAGCCACCTTGTGAATCACTAATTAGAAAGAGTGCATACATTCTATTTTAGTGCCGTTTACGGGGGGGGGGGGGGGTGGGGGGTTGTCCTGTGCGGATGCCCCGCTACTGATGTGATGTGTGTAATTGGCCACCGGACTTATTAGCGCTCACCATTCTCATTAACGCATCGCTCAAGCTGCGTGGCGCGTCAAGGAGAGGAGCTGGGTGTCGTGGCCTCAGTGGGTGGCGGGGGGGGGGTGGTTGAGGGCACGGATGTGCGGATGCTGAAACGGACACTACCGCTTCGCTGGGCCAGCGCATGAAGGGTGCCTGCTGCCACTGTGTGTGTGCACGTGCGCGTTGGCTGCAGGTGGAGGTGTGCACGCGCAACGGATGCTCGCTCAGCGACGCCGTGGCGGTGGCGACGGTGGAGGAGGAGCCGCAGGACGTGTTTGCACCGCGTCTCGGGGTCCTCGGCTCAAGGTCAGTGTCCATGCCGTCCCCGCTTCCCCCCCCCCCCCCCACTGTCACCCCCCTCTCGCCCCCTCCAACCACCAGCCCCCACCCTCTTCCACTGAGCTTCACCGCAATGCGGATTCAAACTCTGTCCCGGCCATCACCCACGAATAATTATCCCCCAAGACAGGGTAACGGTGGTGCGTCGCTTTGAATAAGGCCTACTTGCACTGCCAGAGGTGTGAAGGTGCAAGAGTCAATTAAAATTACATTGACGGCTCTGATTTAATTCCAACGATGTAGCAATCGTTTACACGGAAAAGCCTCGGGGAGCGATGCCAGGGCTGGAGCCGTGGCTCTTTAATTGAACCCGACGACGTGACAGTACGTAACGTTAACTTCTGTGTTGCTGAGCTTGGAGAAGGACTCATGTCTTGAAGAGAATAATGAAAGGGTCTCGCCATGGTGCACAGTCTTTTAAAGCGAATCGTCATGATAACGTGAGGCATGTTTACACTTGAACATGTTTTTGAAACTAAATTTGCCAACTCATGTGCGTGCGTCCGCGTGTGCGTGTGTGCTTGTGTGTGTGCGTGTGTGTGCTTGTGTGTGCGTGTGTGTGCTTGTGTGTGTGCGCACGTGAAGCGCCGTGCGGGTGGAGTGGGACCTGCCCGGGCGTCCACGTGGACTCCTGCGGGCGATCTCCGTGCAGCGCAGCACCATCGTGCCGTGCGCTCACCGCGCGGAGGCCTCGTGTCTGCAGGGAGAGCGCACGGACAGGGATAGAACGTGCGGCTCTGCCTGTTACTCCCCTCTCACACAGGTGACACGGTCTTAATTAACACTCCACTCTCACACAGGTGACGCGGTCTGCATTACCACTCCACTCACACAGGTGACACGGTCTGCATTACCACTCCACTCACACAGGTGACACAGTCTGCATTAACACTCCACTCTCACACAGGTGACACAGTCTGCATTACCACTCCACACTCACACAGGTGACACAGTCTGCATTACCACTCCACTCTCACACAGGTGACACGGTCTGCATTACCACTCCACTCTCACACAGGTGACACAGTCTGCATTACCACTCCACTCTCACAGGTGACACGGTCTGCATTACCACTCCACTCACACAGGTGACACAGTCTGCATTAACACTCCACTCTCACACAGGTGACACAGTCTGCATTACCACTCCACACTCACACAGGTGACACAGTCTGCATTACCACTCCACTCTCACACAGGTGACACGGTCTGCATTACCACTCCACTCTCACACAGGTGACACGGTCTGCATTACCACTCCACTCTCACAGGTGACACGGTCTGCATTACCACTCCACTCACACAGGTGACACAGTCTGCATTAACACTCCACTCTCACACAGGTGACACAGTCTGCATTACCACTCCACACTCACACAGGTGACACAGTCTGCATTACCACTCCACTCTCACACAGGTGACACGGTCTGCATTACCACTCCACTCTCACACAGGTGACACGGTCTGCATTACCACTCCACTCTCACAGGTGACACGGTCTGCATTACCACTCCACACTCACACAGGTGACACAGTCTGCATTACCACTCCACTCTCACACAGGTGACACGGTCTGCATTACCACTCCACTCTCACACAGGTGACACGGTCTGCATTACCACTCCACTCTCACAGGTGACACGGTCTGCATTACCACTCCACTCTCACACAGGTGACACGGTCTGCATTACCACTCCACTCTCACACAGGTGACACGGTCTGCATTACCACTCCACTCTCACAGGTGACACGGTCTGCATTACCACTCCACACTCACACAGGTGACACGGTCTGCATTACCACTCCACTCTCTCACAGGTGACACGGTCTGCATTACCACTCCACTCTCACACAGGTGACACGGTCTGCATTACCACTCCACTCTCACAGGTGACACGGTCTGCATTACCACTCCACTCTCACACAGGTGACACGGTCTGCATTACCACTCCACTCTCACAGGTGACACGGTCTGCATTACCACTCCACACTCACACAGGTGACACGGTCTGCATTACCACTCCACTCTCACAGGTGACACGGTCTGCATTACCACTCCACACACACACAGGTGACACAGTCTGCATTACCACTCCACTCTCACAGGTGACACGGTCTGCATTACCACTCCACTCTCACACAGGTGACACGGTCTGCATTACCACTCCACTCTCACAGGTGACACGGTCTGCATTACCACTCCACACTCACACAGGTGACACAGTCTGCATTACCACTCTACTCACACACAGGTGACACGGTCTGCATTACCACTCTACTCACACAGGTGACACAGTCTGCATTACCACTCTACTCACACACAGGTGACACGGTCTGCATTACCACTCTACTCACACAGGTGACACAGTCTGCATTACCACTCTACTCACACACAGGTGACACAGTCTGCATTACCACTCTACTCACACAGGTGACACAGTCTGCATTACCACTCTACTCTCTCACAGGTGACACGGTCTGCATTACCACTCCACTCTCACACAGGTGACACGGTCTGCATTACCACTCCACTCTCACACAGGTCACACGGTCTGCATTACCACTCCACTCACACAGGTGACACGGTCTGCATTACCACTCCACTCTCACACAGGTGACACGGTCTGCATTACCACTCCACTCTCACACAGGTAACACGGTCTGCATTACCACTCCCACTCTCACACAGGTAACACTGTCTGCATTACAACTCTACTCTCACACAGGTGACACGGTCTGCATTACCACTCCACTCTCACACAGGTGACACGGTCTGCATTACCACTCCACTCTCACACAGGTGACACGGTCTGCATTACCACTCCACTCTCACACAGGTGACACGGTCTGCATTACCACTCCACTCTCACACAGGTGACACGGTCTGCATTACCACTCCACTCTCACACAGGTGACACGGTCTGCATTACCACTCCACTCTCTCACAGGTGACACGGTCTGCATTACCACTCCTCTCTCACACAGGTGACACGGTCTGCATTACCACTCCACTCTCACACAGGTGACACGGTCTGCATTACCACTCCACTCTCACAGGTGACACGGTCTGCATTACCACTCCACACTCACACAGGTGACACGGTCTGCATTACTACTCCACTCTCTCACAGGTGACACGGTCTGCATTACCACTCCACTCTCACACAGGTGACACAGTCTGCATTACCACTCCACTCTCACACAGGTGACACGGTCTGCATTACCACTCCGCTCTCACAGGTGACACGGTCTGCATTACCACTCCACACTCACACAGGTGACACGGTCTGCATTACCACTCCACTCTCACAGGTGACACGGTCTGCATTACCACTCCACACTCACACAGGTGACACAGTCTGCATTACCACTCCACACTCACACAGGTGACACGGTCTGCATTACCACTCCACTCTCACAGGTGACACGGTCTGCATTACCACTCCACTCTCACACAGGTGACACGGTCTGGATTAACACTCCACTCTCACACAGGTGACACGGTCTGCATTACCACTCCACTCTCACACAGGTGACACGGTCTGCATTACCACTCCACTCACACACAGGTGACACGGTCTGCATTACCACTCCACTCTCACACAGGTGACACGGTCTGCATTACCACTCCACTCTCACACAGGTGACACGGTCTGCATTACCACTCCTCTCTCACACAGGTGACACGGTCTGCATTACCACTCCACTCACTCACAGGTGACACGGTCTGCATTACCTCTCCACTCACACACAGGTGACACGGTCTGCATTACCACTCCACTCTCACACAGGTGACACGGTCTGCATTACCACTCCACTCTCTCACAGGTGACACGGTCTGCATTACCACTCCTCTCTCACACAGGTGACACGGTCTGCATTACCACTCCACTCACTCACAGGTGACACGGTCTGCATTACCACTCCACTCACACAGGTGACGCGGTCTGCATTACCACTCCACTCTCTCACAGGTGACACGGTCTGCATTACCACTCCACTCTCACACAGGTGACGCGGTCTGCATTACCACTCCACTCACACAGGTGACACGGTCTGCATTACCACTCCACTCTCACACAGGTGACGCGGTCTGCATTACCACTCCACTCTCTCACAGGTGACACGGTCTGCATTACCACTCCACTCTCACACAGGTGACACGGTCTGCATTACCACTCCTCTCTCACACAGGTGACACGGTCTGCATTACCACTCCACTCTCACACAGGTGACACGGTCTGCATTACCACTCCACTCTCACACAGGTGACACGGTCTGCATTACCACTCCACTCACACAGGTGACACGGTCTGCATTACCACTCCACTCTCACACAGGTGACACGGTCTGCATTACCACTCCACTCTCACACAGGTGACACGGTCTGCATTACCACTCCACTCTCTCACAGGTGACGCGGTCTGCATTACCACTCCACTCTCACACAGGTGACACGGTCTGCATTACCACTCCACTCTCACACAGGTGACGCGGTCTGCATTACCACTCCACTCTCACACAGGTGACGCGGTCTGCATTACCACTCCACTCTCACACAGGTGACGCGGTCTGCATTACCACTCCACTCTCACACAGGTGACACGGTCTGCATTACCACTCCACTCTCACACAGGTGACACGGTCTGCATTACCACTCCACTCTCTCACAGGTGACACGGTCTACATTACCACTCCACTCTCACACAGGTGACACGGTCTGCATTACCACTCCACTCTCACACAGGTGACACGGTCTGCATTACCACTCTACTCACACAGGTGACACAGTCTGCATTACCACTCTACTCACACACAGGTGACACGGTCTGCATTACCACTCTACTTACACAGGTGACACAGTCTGCATTACCACTCTACTCACACACAGGTGACACAGTCTGCATTACCACTCTACTCACACAGGTGACACAGTCTGCATTACCACTCTACTCTCTCACAGGTGACACGGTCTGCATTACCACTCCACTCTCACACAGGTGACACGGTCTGCATTACCACTCCACTCTCACACAGGTCACACGGTCTGCATTACCACTCCACTCACACAGGTGACACGGTCTGCATTACCACTCCACTCTCACACAGGTGACACGGTCTGCATTACCACTCCACTCTCACACAGGTAACACGGTCTGCATTACCACTCCCACTCTCACACAGGTAACACTGTCTGCATTACAACTCTACTCTCACACAGGTGACACGGTCTGCATTACCACTCCACTCTCACACAGGTGACACGGTCTGCATTACCACTCCACTCTCACACAGGTGACACGGTCTGCATTACCACTCCACTCTCACACAGGTGACACGGTCTGCATTACCACTCCACTCTCACACAGGTGACACGGTCTGCATTACCACTCCACTCTCACACAGGTGACACGGTCTGCATTACCACTCCACTCTCTCACAGGTGACACGGTCTGCATTACCACTCCTCTCTCACACAGGTGACACGGTCTGCATTACCACTCCACTCACTCACAGGTGACACGGTCTGCATTACCACTCCACTCACACAGGTGACGCGGTCTGCATTACCACTCCACTCTCTCACAGGTGACACGGTCTGCATTACCACTCCACACTCTCACAGGTGACACGGTCTGCATTACCACTCCACTCTCACACAGGTGACACGGTCTGCATTACCACTCCACTCACACACAGGTGACGCGGTCTGCAGTACCACTCCACTCTCACACAGGTGACACGGTCTGCATTACCACTCTACTCTCACACAGGTGACACGGTCTGCATTACCACTCCCACTCTCACACAGGTAACACTGTCTGCATTACCACTCCACTCTCTCACAGGTGACGCGGTCTGCATTACCACTCTACTCTCACACAGGTGACACTGTCTGCATTACCACTCCACTCTCACACAGGTGACACGGTCTGCATTACCACTCTACTCTCACACAGGTGACACGGTCTGCATTACCACTCTACTCTCACACAGGTGACGCGGTCTGCATTACCACTCCCCACTCACTCAGGTAACAGGTTCCATTGCAACTTTGTCATTCTCCTCTTCGATTTGCACTGTATGTACCAGACAGGACCCACCATTGTGACCTCCACTTAAAATCCAATCTCTCATCACTTGATAGAAGAAGAAATCTACATTGGGCCATGTTCATCCACAAAATCCTCAATGGCAAATCTGTGCTCTACTTTGCGAATTAATTAACCCCAATGTCAAATGCAACAAACCTTAGGCGTCCATCTATCCCAAGAACAAGGCTTGGAATAGGTGACAAAGACTTTGTCATCACAGCACCAACGTTTTGGAACAACCTTGTTTCCTCCCTTACCATCGTACATCTTCAAAAATATTTTCAAGCAGAAGATTTCTGCTGGATACAGCCATATTTGCGAATGTGATTTGTAAATGTAATTTGTAACAATCGATTGAGTTAAATTTTAACATTGTATTGTTTTTGTGTGATCTCGGACTGTTTTTGCTGTTGTTTTACTGCCTTCCAGAAGCTTGGGAGTTGATGATGCAAATTCAACTAATATGATTTATTTTAATTATAAAAGGGGCACCACGGTGGCGAGATGTTATCCTCCTCGCCTGGTATGCAGGCGGTCGGAGGTTCGATCCCGACCCTGACGCCTGCTGTTTATTTGGCGTTTGAATGTCCTCCGGGTCCTCTGGTTTTCCCCTCCACATTTAGAAACATGCATTGAGAATATTTAGATTATTTTGCTGCTATAAATGTCCAAATGTTGGGCCACTTTGTTGAGCTATCATTTGTGACCAGGTCGCTTCTGAAAAATAAGTTAACACCTCAGTGGGCTTTGCCTGGTAGAATGGGGATGGTTTCGTTTCATTTATATGTGTGGGTGATTTGTTTACCTCTCTTGTACTTTGGACTACTATCATGTTTTCGTACTTTTGTAACATTATTACCCGCCCATACTTGGACATCTTTGAAAAATAACTTCATAGCTCATCGGATTCCTCCACTATAAATAACAATTCTGATTCTCATACAGGTAACAGATTCTCCTTTACCACTCCACTCGCACAGGTAGCAGCCTCCATCACCACTGCCCGCTCAGTTACCACAGCCACTCTCTTGACACAACCACTACCCACTCACACAGTCACTCTGCACTACACCAGCGCCTTGGTTGCCGGGTGTTGTTCGGCACGCTGCGCTATTTCAATATTCGTTGCACATTGTTGGGTGCGCTGCGTGTTGCCAGGTTTGTTGCGGTGGAGTGGTACACGAGGCCAGGCCCGACTACGCGTGTTGCGACGGCCGCCTTGTGCTGCTGGAGGGTGGACCCTCGGCCGTGTGCTGCGGGGGGCGGTTTCACCGGCCCCTGGTGGAGCACACGTGCTGTGAGGGCCACTACGTCCACGTGAGGCCAGGTAAGCAAAGCCCGGTGGTGGCGGCAGCAGCAGCACCGGCAACACTTACACCACCCAGCCAAGCCCGGTGGTGGCGGCAGTAGCAGCACCAACAACACTTACACCACCTAGCCTAGCCCGGTGGTGGCAGCAGCACCAGCAACACTTACACCACCCAGCCCAGCCCTGTGGTGGCAGCAGCAGCAGCACCGGCAACACTTACAGCACCCAGCCAAGCCCTGTGGCTGCCAGACACAGGGGGGCACGTGCCGTGGTGTACAAGTACACTCCACTGCTGGATGAGGGCCTCCACAACACCGGGCGGGTTGAGGGTGTTATTTTACTAAACTTAATTTTGCTGGACAGTACGGGTTGGTAAACAAGGGGAGCATAGATGTGTAAGTACCATACAGAGTACAGCGCAATGGATTAGGATGCACTGCCCTCCGATACCCTCCATGCGGTCAGTCATCCAATAATAACCTTATATCCATGGATATCAGCCATCCAAGCACTAACCAGACCCAACCGTGGTTAGCTTCTGAAGTGCGTATAGGCGAGTGCCATTCCGTCGGCACCCACGGTGTGCAGTCGCTTAACGATGAAGAATCACAGCTCGAGCTGAGTCCACGTCGGCAGCTGGACGCGTGCGTGCGTGCCCCGCTCGTGCGCTGCGCAGGAGAGACGTGCTGCTGGGACCCCGAGTGGCGCGAGGTGGCGGTGGGCCCGGGGGACGCGTGCTGCGGAGCGCGGCCGTACGAGCTTCGGGGGCAGCAGCAGCAGCTGCAGCAGCAGCAGCTGCAGCAGCAGCAGCAGCTGCAGCAGTGCTGCGGGGACGCGCTGCTCGACGCGTCGCGTCCCTCGTGCTGCGGGCACCGTGCGCTGGGCGAGGGCGAGACGTGCTGCGGGGAGGGCGAAGCAGCCAGCGCCCATCTCACCGTGCCAGGTCGCGCAGGCACCCGCCGCCACTCGGGCAACAACGCTCTCCTCCTCCCACTCTTTAACGCAAAGAGGGTTGTCAAACGGGATAGTTGAGCCTCGCCTGTACAACAATAATGATGTATTTATATCTGCAGACATCTTTCAATGCGTCGGTTGGTCGGGGTTTGGCGGAGGAGGGCACCGAGGAGAGATGTCACTCGCCACCGATGGTGGCCGTGGCCAGAGGCATTGAACTCGGTTCTTTGCTTTCACGGCGCGATGCGCCACCGCGTCCCCCCCCTCTCGCCTCTACATTGCGTTAAGAATGCTTGGGGTTCAAAACGTGTGTTTAAATGGTAATAACACGAGTGACCACAATGCAAATAGTAAACATACTCTTTTTAAAATGTAACTTTGCAATTTTTTTTTTTTTACAAATAACATCATAGTTTTAATTGTTCCAATATAAACATTAGTTGGTGGGCGCAGGTTGAGGGAGCTGCACTTTGTCGGTCATGATTTCCCTGCCAAGTCTCTGTGGTCGTTCTCAGATCTAAATATAAAACAATTAGGGCATACAAACCTTCATGTTCTTTCAAGGAGCTGTAAAGCGATGGTCTGCTGCTCCTAACGGCTTTAACTAGGATATTTCCATGAGCGTTGCGCGAGGGTTACCTGCCGTGCGCCCATTAGCCTTAACTGTCCAGCCAGCGATTTTGACGCATCAGCAAGACCAGGATTAATCCATTTGCAGAACGTCCATGCGTCTCGTGAACGAGCAAGGGCGGTTTGAGGGCGTGGGTTTTGGAGCACTTTGGAAATGGATTTACGCTTGGGGCCTTAAACGCGGGGGTTTCGTAGACCGAGAGAGATGTTTACTTTCCTTCAGGTCACATTTAAAATACGAACCACAAGTGGTGGGCGCCCTGGATTAGCACACAAAACAAATTGCGGAGCTCTCGCTCCGATTCACGTGCCATTAATTGCACCTCTTCGACCTTGCCAAGGTGTGGTTGCTTCACCGAGCGGAATAGCCGGAGTAGAATATTCCGCGTAACGGAGGGGTTACGGTGAGAGGAGCCGCACGGTTAAGGCACCGGACGGAAATCAGCTGCCGGCGGAGGATTGTCGATGTGTGCCTGAGATATTAAATCACTTAGCGTAAAGTGACAGTGAATTAATTTGCCTCCTAAAGCCCAAGCGCTCCTCTGAGTGTTTTAAAAATAATGCTGTGTTTGAGCTTTGCATAATTATGGCATCCGATCGTCAGCGGGTACGGTCTAATGGCCTGTGTGCATTTGCGAGGTGTGTAATGTACAAAACATCTGTTTTACACAGCGGGTGCCTCTCATGTGGAAAATTAGGCAAGTTAATGTAGCTTTGCTAAAGAGGAAGCATGGTCAATAACGTGCATGGGAGGTAATACGGGCTGATTATCTTTATTTTGCAAAGTGTATCATCGGTGCATTGTCTTCAAGGACCTTGACTTCTTGCACCGCTCTCTGCGAGAAGCCCTCAACAACTTTGCGAGCCGCCCGAGTAACGCGCGCGGACCATGATCCCGCTCTGTCCGCACGCCGGCGCCAATATTGGTGATCTCCTCGCACCTCCTTGAGGTTGGCGCCTCGCTCCCGGGGACGCCCTTTCATGCGAAAGGACAAACACAGCAGGTGCTCGCGAGAGGTGCACGCGCGGAAAGGTGATCTCCGTGTGTCAGCGCGTTCGCATGTGGGTATCACAACAGAAGGTCAGATAAGTGCTTGAAAGGCCCCCACCTGCAATCGCGAAGCCCTTTTGACCATGTTTGGCTGCTCTAAATTAGAATGTTACATCACCGCCGCCGCCTTAAAAATGTCAACGCTGTACATTGGGTTTTGTTTTCTGTGCCACGATCCCGCCTATGGCATTCACCATCGAGGACAACAAACGGACGTCTAAGCGGTTACAATGAAAAGATACGCGTGCCAAGAACAATTGCTCTGCCGTCATGTTGAGCGTGGTGTGCGCTGTGTGCTGTATTTATGCTGTGTGGTGTGTGTGTGCCGTGGGGCGTACGTGGTGTTTCCACCGTGTGCGTACTTTGTGGTGTGCTTACTTTGTGTGCAACCTTGAATTTGTCATCGATCCTCGGCTCGCATTCTTTTCCCACATTTCTCACCTCTGCAGGACCTCATGCCTCCATCTGCACAACATCTCCCGCATCTACAATTTCCCTCTTCCAGCTGCTGTGTGTGTGAGACCCTCATCCATGCCTTCTCTACGACACCCCCAAGTTCCATTGTCTCCAAACTCCAATTGATCCGAAATGCTGATACCAACCTCTGTTATGGATCATACTTCTTACCCGCGCCAATACAAAGAGACCCCCCCTACATCACCCCGCCACTCCCCCCGCTGGCTCCTCATTCAATCCTGGATTAATTCTGAGATCGCACTCACTGCTTTCAAGACCTTCCACGGACTCGCCTCTGCCACCTCTCTCTCCCCTCTCATCTCACTGCCATCCCCCTTCGTGCACAATCTGCTGGAACCACCAAGACTTTCTGTCGAAGCCCCCACCCCCCCCCCCCCCCTCGAGTCAACTTTTGTTTACTGGGTGTTCACTCCTCTGCTGCCTGCCGAAACGAGAACGTCCTTCCCCTACCCATTTTGTGCCATCAACTCCCTACCACTTTTCAAGTCCAGCCTCAAGACATGCCTTTTTTTACTCTTCCTGCGACTGACTGCCTCTCTATTAAAGATATACCCACCGTAATTTGAGATGTTGGTCACGTTTAGACGCGTAATTCCACGTTGTATTTGTACTCTGTGTTCTGTGTGGAGTGCTTGTTTTGTGGTCCATATGCTGCATTTACTGTGCGGTGTTGTATACCGTATGGTACGTGCAGAGTTTAAAGGACGTAATGTGGGGTACGTGCGGAGTTGTTTACATTACCTGTGTGGTACGTGCGGTGTTGTTTACGTGGCTGCGTGCTGCTTGCGGAGTTCTTGACCGCGTGGCCTCTTCTACCCGGGTGCGACAACAGCAACGGCACTTTACTTGCTTGCTTGGGTGTTGCTGTGGCCGGGATTGGGGGGGGGGGGAGAGACAAAGGCGGCCGGGCGTGGTGCTGGCCACCCACCGCCTCGTGCGCCGTACCGGCCTTCACAGGTTCTGCTCGCCAACGGCACTTGCGCCCAACAGTCTGCTCAGGCGACACGGTGGTGGGGATCTTTGTCTCTGGGGTGTCGTCTGCCTGCCTGCCTGTCCGGTGGTGGCAGCAGGCATGGTGTGCTGCGGCGGCGAGTACGTGGCGTCCTCGCTCACCGTGTGCTGCCCGGGCGACGACGACGACGACGAGGACGACGAGGAGGATGAGGAGGATGATGAGGGGGGCACTGGCACGGCGCACGCATTCTCCTCCCCGGAGGAGCGGGCGTCCGCCCTCGACGACGGCGCCCGCTGCTGCGGCTCGGAGCTGCTGGACGAGGCCGGGGAGCGGCGGTGCCCCCCTGGGGGGCAGGGGGGGCTGCTGCTGGGTGGCCGTGCCAACGCGGCGGTGGCAGCTGCTGCTGCTGCTGGGCCAGCGCGCTTGCAGGTGATCACCGTGGTGGTGGTGGTGGTGGTGCCAAACGGTGTAGGACAGGGGTGGGGAACCTTTTATCTGCCAAGGGCCGTTTGGATATTTATAATATCATTCGCGGGCCATACAATATGATCAACTTTAAAATTAGCCCGTTATATTTGGTCAAACGTTTAATTAGCTCACCCCTAATTTGATGGGCTGGAACTGTGATGTTAGCTGGCGTTGATGATGTTGCTACTCGCAACTGCTTTTCCAGGTTTGCTCCTAGATTTATTGAATTTCGAGTCCCACCTGCGGTTGCCTTGGCAGGGCCACACGAAATTATTTCGTGGGCCTCATACGGCCGTTCCCCACCCCTGGTGTAGGAGGAGGAGCGGGGGGGACACTGCATGTGTTGTTGTGGGAGTAGGGGAGGGGTGTGTGTGTGTACTGTGTATGGGGAGCGGTAGTGTAGCGGTTAGCGCGCTGCGCTATGAACCTGGCGACCCGAGTTTGATTCCCGCGCACGATCAACGCCAGTGACGATTATCTGAACCGATCCTGACCCTCTCCTAGGTCGACTCAGCCTCAAATGAGTACCTGGTGCAGTGTGTAAACATCGCCACTGGGGAGACAAAGGCGGCCGGGCGTGGTGCTGACCACCCACAGGTGCTGGATAACAACACTGTTACTGCTATGGGGAACGATGCTGCAAGTGGTTAACACACTTTGCCTATGCACCTGACAACCTCCGTTCGATGCCGAGCCATGGCTAACACCAGGGGTGCAAGTGATATCTTGAACCGGTTTTTCGACTTCTGTCTGTCGTCTCAATCCCGTGTTGTTGGTCACAACACCCCTTGAATGGCACTATGGGGAGATTTATTGAATGGTTTATTTGTACATTTGTATACAGCATACGGATAATTTTGTGCTTGTGGCCAAATTTTATCACCTGGCCACGCAACTTTTGTTTTCTTCCAGACATTTCCTTTTATGCACGAACCACGAATAACGCCGCGTAACGTAAACCTCACGTGGTGTACGTGCAACGTTGCTCTGAGTAACGTGCGCGCATCACGTCCAAATTGCTCCTTGACATACCACTGACGTGAACGCATCAAGTCTCCAATGCACTCGAGACTATGCGATGTTAAAAACACACAAATAGTGAACAGAAACATCTCCAAGCATCGACGTGATGATTATTTAAGTCGAGGCGAGACGTGCGAGTTTGTGTTTTTGACGAGGTGGAGGAGAAGCTTGCTGGGTGCTGTGAGAGCATTTCCACCCACAAGCTCGGTCACCGCTATGCCCCGTGGCCACTTGTCCCAGACAACAATCCCCGTGTTTCTCTCATCAGGGCCACGCACCTGGCGAGGAGAAGACTCAGGCTGGGCTCCGTAGCAACCGCACGAACGCTGATGAATGCTTCTCTCCTGAGTTCGTGGTGTTTTCTGGCCCCGTCAACGTCACCTCCTTCACCGGTAACACGCAGAGCTGTGGGCGCAGCGTGGGTACGGTGGGTTCTATCGTTGTTGCGTTGTCGCCGTTGCGCTGATTTTTACAGGACGTTTCCTCGCGACGATGCCTCTCATCTCGATTTGAAGCTTTCGTGACTGCAGGAATCCATACTCTTTGGTTCTTTCGGTAAAGTCACGTAGGTATAAAATAAAATAAATCACGACGTTTCGGGCGCAACACGTGTTTGATGGGAAAGCATGGTCTGCTGCTGAAGCAGACTGTTTAAAAAAAAAACAAGTCTGTTTTATTTTACTTTATACCTACGCGACTTTACCGAAAGAACCAGAGTGACGATGCTTCTCTTAAGACGTAATCTCCTCCTCATGGCACATAATGGCCTAGACTCAGTGTTTAATTCCGAACCACTGAAATTAAGGTACATGGAGTTACCCTCAGCGTGTATCAAGTAAACATCAAGACGACATTTGTTGTGGAGTAATTTTTTTTATTGAGTGAGCTCTTCCTTTCAAGTTTGTGGGTTAGTGATGAGCCACGTTTATCCAAATGAAACTTGCATCTCAAGAAATACTGAAACCGTGGGTATTGTTTTCTTTTGTAGCTAGGCAAGATGGCTGGGAAAGTGGGGGGGGGGGGGCAGAAAGGACGGTACAGCAACTCGTTTACACAAAACCTGTGCTGTGCGAGAGAGGCTCTAATTCCCATTCCTCGTGGAACAGACGCAGCCTTGGCGACGCTCACGACATACAGTACCGCTACCATCGCTGGACCAATGCGGTGAAATCAAGCGGTTGAGATTGTCGCTTAACAGCTGGTCTTGTCTCGTACGATCGACGGCGGTGGTTGTGGATGAAGAGGCGGACTGAGTGAATGCGTCTCCGCGTCTGTGGATCCCTGGCACACGTGGCGTGACGCGTGGGGTGACGCGTGCGTCTCCGCCACGGAGCCATGCGGAGAGGAATTCCACAGCGAGAGATTCAGGGCAGGCGAAGCCGGCATCACCGCCCTCTCACTCTGGCGACAGAAACCGCTCCCGACTTTAGTGGGCGTTGAACCGACTTGAGCCTGTGCCGCGTGAGTGAGGCTGTCATTCCCTTCCTCGTGGGACAGACGCTGCCTTGGCGCCGCACACAACATACCGCTACCGTGTGGTGGCGTCCAACCGGCACGGCTACGGCAGCAGCGTCCCTCGCCTCGTCACCACTGAGCCCGCAGCCCCCCACAGCGTGAGCCCCCCCCGCTGGAGCCTCGTGCCCGCTCGCCAGGACGCCCTCAGGCTCTCCTGGCAGCCTCCTCGCCAGCCCAACGGTGAGAGCCTTGCATCCCACGTGACAGGCGCATCCCACGTGGTGTGTCTATCGGTAAACCTCTCTCCTCTATCAATTGTAGCCACCATTTTACCACGTATCAAGCATAGCCACGAGTGAACCACTCGCATTGCTCCAACCAAAACCACCAGCGAATTTTGTTGACTGGAGCAGTAAACTTGGACTCCAGTCCTCTGCTTTAATCTCGCTTTCACGCATTTGGCACGGGCTGTGCGGGAACGCAGTCTTCCCACACGTCCGTGATAGTTGTACTCACGTTCTCGATGGCTCGGGGCATGCTGGCTGCCAGCCGCCGCGTGTGGAGGCCACGCGCTGACGGGAGAACGTGCCCACTGACACGGCTCTGGCACGGAGTGCGCGTGGCGTGAGCCAATCGCCTGTCACCAATGCTCAGGGCGCCCATCACCATCTGTAGCCAGGGCAGCAGTGACCGGGGTCAACTTCCAGTCAGCCACTGGGCACTGGCTATGTTGGGCCTGGCACGGGGACGTTAGGGAACAGCGGTGAGCCCACGCCATCGGTGCTGTCTGGTTTTTTCGCAGCGAAGATTTGAAACGTTAATCTGAGTCACTTGCGTGTGTGTCTGCGGGGAGAGGTAGTGCAGTGGTTAGAGCGCTGTACTACAAACCTGGCAACCCGAGTTCGATTCCCACTCATGGTCAACAATAGTGATGATTATCTGAACCAGTTCTGGGCTTATACTCTTAGTTTTTTCGGTAAAGTCACTGTAGGTAAAAATTAAATTAATAAAAATAAAATAATGCAGAAAATCTGGCTGTGACGGTCCCACCTGATGACGGAGACTTGTGTTGCCTCCGAAATGTCATGATTTTTATTATTTTATTTTTATTAATTCTTATTTAATTTTTTACCTACGTGACTTTACCGAAAAAACTAAGAGTATGAATCCTTGCAGTCACGAAAGCTTCAAATCTAGAATCAGTTCTGGGCTTTCCATATGTCAACTCAGCCTCAACTGGGTATCTGGTGCTGTGTGTAAATATCAGCACTGGGGAGACAAAGGCGTCCGGGTGTGGTGCTGCTCACCCACCCGCTCGTGTGCCGTGCTGGCCTTCATAGGTGCTACTCACTAACAGCACTTGCCCCAACAATCTGCTTAGGCTATTTGGGGGACCTTTGTCTTCGTCACAATAAGTTGAGAGCCTGTTTTAGTTGCACCCCTGAGCTTAACAAGAGATTAAATATTTCCTGACCTTGCGTTGAGAATGGGCCCCACTCTCTCCCCACAAAAAAGGGGAGGCAAATCCTGACACAGCGAGCAATGTGGGGGGGGGGGGTCATTGAATTATTTAATATTCCACTGTGCCTTTTTTTTGCAAATGAAAAAGATATTAATTCCACTTTAAATTGGCTCATCCTCCAGAGTAATAAAAATGAAGAGGACGTATCCGATTTTGAATTGCAGACGGCGAAGCAATTTCTCGTTTTAAAAAAGTGCTGCTGCTTCGCTTTGGAGTGCAGTGGCTGCGGGTAAATAAGTGTGTGGGGCCTCGGTGATTTGGCTTAAAAGCCTGTGACAAATTGGGTGATAGATAGAGTTTACACTCAGCAGCACACGTAATGTGACAATGGACATGCTGTAAAGGTTTGAGATTAATGATAATTAATGTTAATGATGCCGAAAAAATCATTCCAAATTAGCCCCGTGATGGAGGATAATTAGTTTCCGTGATGAAAGTGCGCTGTGACGGAGTCTGCGCTGGGAAGCCCTTCGCGTGACGGCTCACGCGAGCGTCGCACGCACCGCCACCGCCGCCGTCGCCGCCGCCGCTGCGCTCCACTGTAATCCCTCAAATTAAATGTCAACTTCCATCGGAGTTTTGTAAATTTGAAAATATTAACAATTCCATACGATTGGCATGTAGTGCCATCAAACACTGCAAAACCGAACATCGTATGCCATGCCAGTGTGGGTTTTTTTTTACAAAAGAGTCTTGGTTTTTCTGTTACATCGTTAAATGATTGTTCTTGTGTATAATGTGTTGGTGAACTTACACAACCACTCGCCCAGTCTGCACTCCTCCCACATCTCATCAAACACGACGAGACTATGACCATTCCCTCGCAAATCAAATATATACCAATTAAAAAGGGCCCTTCCTAAGCAATTAAACACATTGATGGGTCTTTGTTATGAATGCTGTACCTTGTCAACTTGCACAGCGTGTGATGTGCAGGTACAAGTGTGCGTGAGAGGACTATGTTAGGGATGAGGGGTTAGAGTCAAGGACAGAGCAGTTAGGGTTATGGGTCAGGGGTTACGGGATTCGGTCACTGATCAGCCATGAATGCTGCATAATGCGCTGACTTGTCTTGTGAGGATTAGGATTTAATGGTCAGGGATTAAAGTTGGGGATTAAGGTCGGAGGTTAGAGTTAGGGATTTGGGTCATGGGTTAGGGTAATGGGTCAGGGTTTTTGTTTGCCTGGGAATCTTTCTCGGTGTGTCCCCGGCTATGCCAGGCCCTGTCACGCACTACTGTGGTGGAGCGGGATGGGCTGGAGCGGCACCGTGGATCGGAGCTCCACTTTCTGGACGAGCACGGCGTGATGCCCTTCCGCGCGTACCGCTACCGCTTGGCCGCCTGCACTGTTGCCGGCTGCACCTTCAGCAGACCGGTATGGCCAGCACCGTGGGGGGGGGGGACTCTATCATAAATAATCTATCAGTGTGAATCCTGACTCTGGTGTCTTCATCGCTGCACCATGCTGTGCTGCAATCATAAATGCATCAAACAGAGCGAGCGATTCACGCGTACGCCTTTGTGGCTGTGTGTTACCTTGATCCCACTTGCTACTGGAGCGATTTGACCGCCTTTTTGACTGTGCGCCAGGCACAAACAAAAAATCGCAAGCGTGCATGTAGCATCTCCCACAGCAGCATAGGTGTGATGTACCTGGATGAGGTTCTCTGTGCAGGCAGTGTAACGGCACTGGAGTCCCACCGGCCAGAGAAGCCCAAGCACCGGTCTGCAAAAAGAGCTGGGATTTATTTGATAGGGTGCTCCAAATTCATTGCTTGCACCATGGCCCGTGCCAACCATGCAACGCTACTGCCACTACGGCGACCTGAGCTGGAAGATTTGCTCGTGTGAGCTGCGCAGGTGACCGCAGCTACCGCTCAAGGTCCCCCGGAGGACATCGCCGCTCCGGTGGTCACGGCACGGGGCGCCCAGTGGCTCTCGCTCAGCTGGGCGGCCCCTGGCCGGCCAAACGGAGCCATCCACCTCTACCGCATGGTGCAGGCTGGCGCGGGGGTCATCCACACCCACATGCAGGGGCCCCTCCTCCTCAACGTTTCAGGTAATCCATCAGTTCCGGCAGCGATGAACTGGACTGCACCTCAGTCACCCAAATGAGTCGGCTCAGGCTTTTCAGAGTGTCCGCATCAGCCGTAGCCGACAGATTTAAATTTAATTGCATGGAAATCCATCAATCATTCAATTATCTGCGCTCGCACCACCTGACACACTGTGTGGAAGTACCCGGCACGTGCGTTCAGCAAAATCAATGTGAAGTCCCCGTTAATTCCGGCATCTGTAACGAGACCCACTTACAGACTCGCCACTTTCACGACTCCGCGTTGGCACGGCTCGCGGCTACATCTAAATCTCCAGGCCGCACGCGCTACGTGCGGCACAGGGAATTCTTATTTTTGAAATGAAACGTTCGGCGACGGGAAGGATGGGGCCTCGTGTCGACTGTGGACAGCGCCGCACATAAGAAGCAGCTCTCGCCGACCCGGCGCAGACAGTAATAACTTTCAATCAAACGCGCCCTTAAGCCGCTCGGCGCTAATAGAATCTTATATTGCACATTTCCCCAAATTAAGTCGTCATCGCCGCCGCCTATTGGTGAAGCCCTGGCGCGGAGGGTGCCGCTAAAAGCTCGGCACGCTCACTTGCCTTCCACCTTCAGAGCACCAGGCGCGAGCCTCAGTCTCCTCCAGAAAGACCTTCCAATCTCTGCAAAGCGGTATTTATCGCTCTTTAATGGGAAGGGAAATTGAGGGCACACCGCATAGAGAAATCCATAATGAGTATTGATACCTTTTAAGTGCGCCCATGAAACCACAGAAATCATGCATAAAATGGTGCTGGCAGCCGCCTGCCACATAGCTCAATACTGTATGGATTTAGTCTGAAGGATAATTGTCCCAGTCATCAGTCACAGAAACATGATTAGGTAAAATAGCAACATTACCAGCTTCATCATCATTTCTGGGTGTAATCTGACCATTCGTTAAATCAGTTGTGTGACCTTTAGTGTGATGGACTGGGGAGGGTGTCCTACAGCATAATGATTTTGCCATGAGCATAATGCCTTCTGACAACTAGCATTAAATTACGTGTGAGGAAAGAAAGCAGAACATTTAAATGCCCCAGGGTTTTGAATAAAATTTTCAATATCGTACGATTTATAACACATTTGTTGGCCTGTCGGGTGTCGTCGAGGTCAGAGACCACCGCGACTTGCTGAGCCGGCAGCTCCAGCGCGCCGCCGCCGCGGTCCCGGTGCGTGGCTCTGGCGTGACACGCCCCTCGGTGGAGAGCGCCGTTTTGTCCGCGTGACACGGCCCACCACGCCCGACAGCACGCTTCCCGACAGCACGCTTCCCGACAGCACGCTTCCCGACAGCACGCTTCCCGCAGTTCAAGCTTGACAGTGGCAGTGCGGGACGCCCTCTGCTGCCAGCCAGCCCGCCACACAACGAGCCACCTGCAGGCTTATTGGTCGTGGCAGCCTGTCACGTCCAGTCCAGACACATCCTCTCCCAGGGATGGCTCCGGCAGAGCACCTGACATAGCTCCTTAAATCTCCCATCGCAGCGCCTCGCTAGCACGGAGCTGACAATGTATTCCACGGGGAAGAGGAGTCCTTGGTGGTGGTGGTGCAGCAACTGGCTGGATTATGAACCCGAGATGTGGAAATGACGGCTGCTCATGATCATCAATGCCTGAGGATATTGAAACTATTCTTTGCCTGACCCTCATGAATGCACGTGTGCACTTTGTTCTTTTACCCACAATACTCTCAGGGCTGGAGCCATTCAGCAGCTACAGATTTGCGCTGGAAGCTTGTACGGCCGGTGGCTGTAGCTCCAGCCCTCTAGCGGATGCCACGACCCTGGAATCAGCCCCCCAAGGTGGGATCCCACACCCCTGCACGTGCACCTGCTTTGGGCTCTGTCCACACGTGTGCACCAGGGGCTCTGCGCAGCCTATCACTGCACCGCGCCTCTCTACACACGGCCTTCACTTGACCTCTCTTTTGGCCTCCGTGCGACATACAAACACATTTTGCTTGAATTGACCAGCCATCAAAATGGACTTGTCACATTTTGTGTACAAGCCTGTGTGCGTGTGTGTGTGTAAGTTACTAGAGCCGTGCCTCGCGCGTGCGTGCGTGCGTTTTAGGCGTCTGGCTGCACCCGCGGAACTTTGTTGTGAGCAGCAGCGTCGTGGAGCTGAACTGGGCTCAGCCGGCGCAGCCCAACGGACGCATCGTGCACTACCGGCTGCACCGCGACGGCCGCCCCGTCTACACGGGGGGCCCCGAGCTTCTCTCCTACACGGACCGCGGTCTCCACCCCAACAGCAGGTGAACGAGCGACTCCCAACACACAGGGCGCCTTACCGCCGTGAACACGTGTACGTGCACAGGCCCTTTTGTCATTCTCGACTGCTGGATGAGGGCTTCTGCATGCCGTGCAGATCAGTGTGGGTCGGTGAATGAGAGCATCATAGATGTCGGAGCGTAGTAGAGCGCAACAATGGATTTGGATCGACTACCCCTCTCGATGCAGCCTACAATACTGTTTATTTGCACGGTGGTCACCCATACAAGCACTTTTCAGTAGACCCTGCTACCTTTGGCCGAACAAAAGTTCACCTCGCAAACAAACACCCGCAGCTCCAAATGCGCCTGGATATGCCGCGCCAGACATACGAAAATAAATGTGGCGGCTTTTCGTTCAGCCGCAAATCTTCCTGACACGTGGAACAATATCGCTGCTTGTTGGTGTCTCTGAACCACGTCTTCTGCATTCTTAATCAACTCCTCAATACGTTTCTCAGAAAACATTCGAGTAACTATCTTGAACGTGCCCTTCATTTATTAGCTACCTAGTTTTAATGAGTTGTTAATTTTTCCACAAATGTATTTAATTATATGTCGCTTCCCTTTCAGCAACTACTTCTATTTTGAAAGTCGCAGTGTCTCAATGAGCTCAACTAAAGCTATTGTTTTATTTATTGAGGTGTATGAGGTGTGTGTGTGCGTGTGTGAAGCGTGTATGCGTAGTATGTAGCGTGTGTGTGTTTGCCGTGTAATGTGTGTGCTATGTAGTGTGTGTGCTGTATAGTGTGTGTGTATATTATGCAGTGTGTACACTATGTAGTATGTGTGCAATGCACTCTGTACGCTATATAGTGTGTGTGCTACGTAGTGTGTCCATAATATCCATAATATGTAGTGTGTGTATGCTATGCAGTGTGTATGTGCAATGTAGCGTGTGTGTTTGTTCATGCGGCATACGCGCTGCGTGTTCCTATACCGCCAGTCCACGTGTTCTGCCCGTTTCGCTCAGCTACGTGTACACGCTGGAGGCGGCCACCTCGACCGGCGTGGGCTCCAGCGAGGGTCACTGGGTGCGGACACCCCCCTGGACCCCCGAGGGGGTCCCCGCCCCCCACGACGTGCGCGTGCTGGGCCCCCGCTCCATCCTCGCGTCGTGGCGCGCGCCCGGTGAGGGTCCCCTTCCTCCTCCTCCTCCCCCCGCCGGCAACGCTCACGCCAGCCTTTTCACATTTGCGCGTTTTGAATTTAGTTTCCTCCTCGGGCAAGTTTGAAGGCAAGCGCGTGCACACGTACCCCTCTTTCTACACAATCCATATGAGAACATCGCGGCGATTAGTCACACCGCATACACACGGCACGCGGTCGTGACTTTTAGCTGCGGCAATCCTTCATTGGCCCCGTGCTCTGCTCTACAACTTCATTGAATAAACGTCAAGGCTTCTCGGGAGATCAATGGTAACTTGCATTGACATTTTGCTGCCTTTGTCTCATTAGCGGTGTTTAACCTCGCCGTCCCCGTGGAATACAATGTCACTGTGAATCTGGGCTCGGCGAGGGAAATGGCTTTCTCGGCGGCGCAGTCCCGGAGCCTGCTGCTGGAGGGCCTGGAGCCGCACCGACGGCATGAGCTGCGTGTTCTGGCCTGCCAGTCAGGTGAGACTCCCGGGGCCACGGACCCCCCCCCCCCCCCACCGCCCGCACCGCGTGGCCCCCAAACTCGCGGATCGATACGCTTCCGCTTTCATGTCGTAAATGAGCTTCGCCAGGACGGTCCGTTGCAATCTTTGAAACAAAGAGATGTGTTTTCTTGATAACGGCACCACAAAAGCTTTTATTTACAGATTAAATGGGCTATTCCTGGCCAGGCCAGATAACTTCGAAGCAATTACGTTGGGTAATCATGGCTTCTTTGTGCGCCTCTCAATAAGTGCCAACCACCTACATTCGTACGTGTGGTGGGTCTCGCAGAGGGATTGGGGGTAAATTAAATAATTGTAACAAGATTATTTTTGGTAAATTCTCACAAATGTGTGATAATGGGCTGTATAGTAGACAGGAGGCCATACGACCAAATCACCTGGAATGTGCCCAGTCTCATCCGATCTCATAAGCTCAGCAGGTGTGAGCCTGGACAATGCTTGAATGGGCAACCACCATGCATAACACTGGTGTTTTAGGCTGCTTCAGGGCTCTGTCGTGGACAACAGAGGAGTGTGCAGAACATTTTTCATTTCAACTTGTAATGCGCCGCCGAACAGTCTTCGCTCGCTCTCGAAGAGAAAGAGAACGACTCAGAGGCGCAAGGTCCCACAGACGAGCGGGAAAGGTAGCCACACGGTGAGCCGGCGCCAAATTCCCCCCAAGCTCTGCGGTTCTACATTGATTAAGGTGTCATCGGACAATTAATGAGGGTTTATATGTTGGAGGAAACACATTGATGAGCATGATGATGTAAAATATCAAATTAGCCCATGACCCGCCAGGCATGGGGTAGCCCTCATCCAGCAGTGGCTGGACAAGAGGGCTCTACATTCACACGAATGTGCGAGCCGTGAGTGCTCCCGTTGCTAAACGCGAGTTGTAGAACAGCGGCGGTGCTGCTGGCGCTGTGTGAGCAGGCGGCTGTGGGCTGAGCGCGCCGGCGTACGCCGTCACGGAAGAGGCCGCCCCGGAAGGGCAGGGCCCGCCCGGCGTCGCAGCCTTGGGGACGGCCGTGCTCGAGGTCACGTGGTCTCCACCCGAGCATCCCAACGGCGACATCACAACATACGTCCTTTACAGGTGACGTGGCATCGCATGGAGACCACGTCTCTCATACACAGTACGCCTGTGCGATCTCCGCACCCCTGCCCCGTTGCGTGCCATCTCACTGCCGCGACGGAGATAGCGAATGCACGGCACAATAGTGGCGCAAGAGTATTCAGTTCATCATGCCCCCCTGTGTTGTACCTGCCTGTAATCAAATGCCCGATCTCATCAGGTCTCAGAAGCTAAGCAGGTTTGAGCCTGGATAATGCTTGTCTGAGTGATCACAATGTATGCAAGGTCGTCATTGGGTAGCTGAGGAGTTGTGCCACGAGGTGGCCAGCAGACAGCAGTGCTTAAAAACCATATTGTTGTACTGTACTTATATGCTCCCATATGTATGCTTCCCAGTTTCACCAACCCGTATTGACCAGTGTGGAGAAGTATGGTCAAATAACTGACGCAACCTGCATGGCATGGGGAGGCTCACATACAGAAGTGGATTGAGAAAATAGCCTCTTAGAATACCATTTTCAGCAGCACCACTGATCGAGCTCGTTCTGAGGAGTGGAATTTCATAAACTGCATATCATAGAGATGAATGTGTGGTGAGGACTGCGTGGTAGTGATGTGTAAATTGAAAACATTCTTTACAATTTTTCGTGTTGTTTGTTGTCCTTCCCCTGCACCTCCGATTAGCACAATTGACTACTTACGGTGTGAAAGAAGTTCAATATACAGTACATGCATACGTAAAGTGTCTCCCAGATGCCGTAGGACTGACGAGGTCGTGCGTGGCTTGTTCCTGGGCGTGCGGCAGACGCGATGCCGGCGCGCGGAACGAGCTAGTGGTTTTCGTCTGGTCAGAGGGCCCGCTGGCGTTCACCGACGCCTCGCCAGAGCTGCGGCCAGGCTCCGCGTACGAGTACCGTGTGCGGGCGCGCAACCGGCAGGGCGAAACCGACGGGCTGTGGGCACGGGGCTGGACCAGGGAGGCCCCGCTGGGTGACCTCGAGCTACCCGGCGTAACGCCACATGGTCCCTACTCCCTGCATACCACGTGGCGGCCGCCGCACGCGCCGCGCGGAACCATTCGGCAGTACCGGCTAGAGTATGGCCCGCGGGGCTCAGAGCAGTTGGTGCCTTCCCCCGAAATCAAGGCCCTCACCGTGCCGGTAAGTCGCCTTGAACGGCCAAGCCATGCTCAACACCGCGGCAAGCACCCATGGTACAATGTAGGAAGATGGAGGCGGATGATTGGTCTCACACAACGTGGGAGCAGCAACCGATTTAAACGTCTGGCATTCAGATAATTTTTACTGTCACAAAAAATCCCCAAGTTGTTTAACATTGCTGAGAATATTTAGGATGGATCAGGCATTCGTAAAACAAGAATGGTTTACAAAGTGATTTTATTCGCTATTGCCTTGTTAAATGTCATATAAAAAGTTAGCAATGTGGGGAAATGAATGTGAAAATTACACCGTCGAATTCTGCCTTTTTTGTTAACCCTATTCATGTTTTCTCCCAATTTATTATGCAGAGCAGAATTGATGAATTTCAGGGCATGAATAAAATATTAACCCGTCTCAGTATTGGTTTCCTTTTAAAATAGAAATGGCTCTTAACGAAAGATTCCGTAAATAGTTGTAACAGTAGAAACTTCCTAGTGAACGCGACCGTGCGGTAATTGAAGTCGGGTTGACCTCTGGAACATAATAAATATTTCATGTTGGGTGAGTAATTGCAGAAGGGCGATGTCTCACACCCAAATTATGACTTGCGTAATGGCTGATCATTTTACTGATGGTGCCTATAGGTTGTGTTAATCTCAAATTCTATTGATCCCAGCAGAATTAAGGTGTTGGGTGTCAGCCGCTGTGATTAATACTTGACTCGCTGCAAGACAAATGCTGTGCAAATTGGAAAGAGCAGGTGGACGCTTGTTTATTGCTGTGTTTCCCTGAACAATACGCCTTTCTCTTAACCTGAACCTTATTAGGTGATTACACCATTTGTCCGCACGTAAAACCAAACACATTAACCGGCTGGCCCTTGCCATCGGCTTGTAGAGTTCCCAACATTGGTTCAGTGCCGCTACGAGAGATTAGCGTTCTTTTCCGTGACTTTTGAAAGCGAAACATAACAAGTCGTAGTTTCAATTTCCAGTCTAAATGAACCTCAGATATTACCCAACCCCAAGTGGCACAGTGCTGAGCAGCGGTCTCAAATAAGGAGGTGTCCGTGGGTGTGAATGAATTTGTGCTGTTTGTGAGGCGAGTCGTGGCTTGCACTGCTATACCACGTGACCCATGCTCAAGCCAAAGTGAGGCATTCATAGTGAATCACAGGCATCTGTTGAAAATGTGGGGTTTACTTTGTATCAAAAGGTTTTTTTTTAATACTGTATATGTTTTTTCTTTCCATATTGTGTGATTGGTTTCGTGTCATAAACACATATCTGTTGAAGGAGATCGTCAAACTGATTTTTTACATTTTGGGAGACCCGGAATTGAGTAAAATTTATTTCAGAACGAAATTTAATGCGATAGGCATCTGAAACGCAGATTTAAAACCAGGATACCAGCAATGGCAGCTTGGTGCTCTGAACTGATATCCACTGAACCACCTTTTACATCATGAGTGAATCTGAGGTATCCATAGCCAATAACAGTTGTTCGTAATGACAAGATTTTTGTTCATATATTTAGTACATGTCAACAGTGCCGGATCAAGCTAGTGCGGGTCCTGTAGCATATGTTATAAAGGGGCCCTAAATAAAAAAAATATATTAAAACACAAATGTTTCACTTATATAGTAAAGTAATTGTATTTTTTCATTTACTACACAGCCAGATAATACGACAGATCGCTAACCTTAAACACACTATTACAATAGTACTATAGTAATAGAGCAAGTGCAGAATCACTGAACCAGAATTGATAGCATGAAACCATTTATCGCGGGGCCTTTGAAAGTGCGGGGCCTGTAGCATAAGTAGCTACTTTTGCTTCTAGGATAATCCGGCACTGCATGTAAAACTAAAACGGCGTAAGTGGTCCCTATAATTGATAAACCATAATCTTGATTTGAAGCTTTCGTGACTGCAGGAATCCATACTCTTTGGTTATTTCGGTAAAGTCACGTAGGTAGAAAATAAAATGAATCACGACGTTTCGGGCGCAACACAAGCGTCCGTCATCAGGTGGGAAAGCATGGTCTGCTGCTGAGGCAGACTGTTTTAAAAAGGCTTGAAATGGGTGTAGCTCAAGGGTTATAGAACCATAGTTTAATCGTTTAATTCGCTTAGAGTGGTGCTCTTCTGAGTTGGGAGTCTGAATCAATTGGTGGACATTCCACAATTTCTACAGTGGGGCCCAGAAAATCCACGGTTAAGTTCACCGTTATCTTCCCGAAGTGTTACGCATTTTATCCAGACCAATTCAACCACCTCAGGAGAAAAAATAGAACGCGTGATTTTTTTTCTGCGACTGCCGGTGGCTAGAACAAACACAAATTATCGAAATTATATCTTCCGCTGCGGTGCACGCGGAGGGCGCACGCGTTTTGTGTTCGTGGCTGAACCAGCGCTGCCACCCTCTGTGTAGCTGTTGAACTGCACCGTCCAGCCCCCCCCCTCCGGCTACTTGTGAGATGTGAGCGCCCCCACCCAGCCAGATGCTGGGGCTGCAGCTGCATCAGCGAGGAAGTCGCAGCCGTTTCATGATCCTGCTCCGTCCAGATAATAATCAAACTTAAATATTCACGATTACCCGCGAGGAATCAAAGTATGTCTGCCTGTGTGTATGAGTGTGTCACTTGCTGTATATATGAATATGCATTTCTGTGCTTGTTTATAGAACTGTCTGCATGTGTACCTGTATGTATATATGCGTTTATGTGCATGTGTGCACGTATGCGTGCCTCTAGAGAAAGGTGTGTATGTATTTTGAACTTCTTTCACACCGTACATAACCGACCGTGCTAATTCGAGGTGCGTCTTTGCATGGTGAACGGTAGTGTAGTGATTAGCACGCAGTGCTCGCAACCCGGCAACCCGAGTTTGATTCCCGCTCATTGCCAACACAAGTGACGATTATCTGAAACGGTCCTCGTCCTCCCCTAGGTCGACTCAGCCTCAAATTAATACTTGGTGCGGTGTGTAAGCAGCGCCACTACGGAAACAAAGACGGCTGGGCGTGGGGTGGTGGTCACCCACCCCCTCGTGTACCGTACCGGCCTTCATCGGCGCTCACGAACAGCACTTGCCCACACAATCTGTTGAAGGCTATCCCGTTTGGCGGGGTGGCTTTGTCTTTGTGCTGCAGGGGGGGCAGCAGGAGGCGCTGGTGTTTGGGCTGGAGCCCCACACGCTCTACCATCTGCGGGTGGTGGTGGTGGTGAGCGGTGCGGCGGAGAAGCCAAGTCCCTGGGCCTCCGCACGCACCATGGAGGCTGCCCCGAGGGGTCTCGCCCCACCGGTGGCACAGTCCCTGCCCGGTGGGCGCAGCATGCTGCTGCACTGGGACGCACCGGCACGACCCAACGGCATCGTCCAGGTGGGCGATGCACTGGGACGCACCGGCACGCCCCAACGGCATCGTCCAGGTGGGCGATGCACTGGGACGCACCGGCACGACCCAACGGCATCGTCCAGGTGGACGTTGCACTGGGACGCACCAGCCTGCAGCTCCGTTTTGTGACAGCCGTCCGTGCTGGGATGTTATCTACGGGTATTAACGAGGCATTTAAAGCACCGGCTGGCTGAACTGTCAAACTGTCAGGCAGTTTAGAGTGGAAGTATGAACTGTGATGTTTATTTGTTGAGAGGGAGTTGTCTTTTGATTTATCTCTTTTTTTTATTGTACTGATATCGGGTCAGCGAATGGTGAAATTGGCCCATAATTCTTCTGCTGCTTTTGTGGAAAATCAGAATTCGCCCACCAAGGGAAAGTGGAATCACCACCACCATCGCAGGGCTAACTCATCTGCCCCAAAATCTCGTAACAATGCCCGTCATTTTTCTTGTACACCAACCTGAGATTCAGTTGCATTCGGATGCCGTATCTTATCTCATATTTATATAGTGCTTTTATATCCAAGGCGCTTTACAAGGGCTATGAGTGATACATTGAGGGTAACAAAAAGCGATATGGTAAATAGGGATGGGATATAGGGAGGGCGGTTTGTGGGTACCGGAATTACGGGGGTGCCTAGGGATGGAGGGAATGATGGGCCAGGGAGAGTAAGTGGGTCTTGAAGGAGGCGCTGAAACGAGACAGGGAGGGTGCTCGCTACTTCATGTGGAGGGGAAGTTTGTTCCAGTGCAAGGGGGCAAGGAGGTTAAAGGAGTGGAAACGGGATTGTGCCCAAGGAGAGGGGGGAACGGTTCGGAGTAGGAGAGATTGAGAGAGAAGCTGGCGGGATGGGACATATGCAAATGATCTTGTAATTTTATTGAAACAAGAGTTGAGTACCCTCAGATGCCGATGTGATGAGGGAGATACTTTGGTGATTATTTTCCAGAACTACAGTGTTCTCAGCGACAGTGGCGTAGAGTTCAGCGGGCTGGCTCGTCGCTTCGTGCTGCGGCGGCTTGCGCCGTACAAGGAGTACTCGCTGGCGCTGGAGGCGTGCACGTCCGTGGGCTGCGCTCGCTCCGGCCCCGTGACCGCCCGCACGGGCGAGGCCGCTCCGGCCTCCCAGCCCGAGCCCGATGCCCGGCCGCTCGGCCCCACGAGCGTGGAACTGCGCTGGACACCGCCCCGCCGGCCCCATGGCCGCATCCTCCGCTACCTCATCATCGGCGGCACCGCCACCGACCCGGCAAGTGGGCGGAGGGACGCCGTGCTGGAGGAGGTGGCTGAGGAGGCGGTTATCAATGCCTCGATGAGCTCACGGGAAAAACGCTCCTACGTGCACCGCGGCTTGAAGCCGGGGACCGCGTACCGCTACAAGGTGCGCTCGTGGAACTCGGCGGGGTTCGCCGAGAGCGGGTGGGTCACCGTGCGCACGCCGCAAGCTGCTCCGGCGCAGCTGGCGCCCCCCTCGGTCCGCACCGTCCCTCACAGCGCCCGCAAGCTGTGCGTGAGCTGGACTCCTCCGTTGGAGCCGAACGGAGAGCTGCATCACTACAAGCTGCTGAGAAACGGTTCCTTCCTCCCGTTCATCTTTGACCGGTCCACGCTGAACTTCACAGACGTCGACCTTCTGGCACACACCGATTACAGCTACGCGGTGGTGGCCTGCACCGCGGGAGGCTGCGTCACCAGCCCGGCAGTGAGCCAGCGCACGCCGGAGGCCGCGCCCAGCTTCGTGCGTCCCCCCGTGGCCACCCCTGTCAACGCCACCGCCATCCGCGTCAGCTGGACGCCCCTCGCCCCCGGTCGCGGTCAGACCACACAGGCGAAGCTTTTCGTGGACGGTGAGGAGTGCCCCGAGGGGCTGAGTGGGAGCGTGACGGTCTCCGGCTTGCGCCCATACTCGGAGCACGGCTTCTTTGTGTCCGTGTGCACGGGCGGTGGTTGCGCCAACAGCAGCGGCGTGAGAGCGCGGACGCTGGAGGCTCCTCCCGAGAGCTTGCGTGCCCCGCGCCTGGACGTGACCAATTACCGTACGGTCGAAGTACGGTGGCAGAAGCCGGACGCTCCCAACGGACAAATACTGAGCTACGAGGTGTGGCGCGACGGCGCTCTGGTTTACTCGGGCCTAAAGCTGCACTACCGAGACGCGCGGCTGTCCCCCGGCGCCCGGTACTCGTACTCCCTGGTGGCGCGCAACGCCCGCGGGAGGGTGAGCAGCGCACCGTCCGTCGCCCGCACCCCGGCCTCCGCGCCGGGCGGCCTGGCGCCGCCGCGGCTGGAGGCGCTGTCGTCGACTGGGATGCGCGTGGCGTGGGACCCGCCGTTGCGCCCCAACGGGGACGTCGTCAACTACACGGTGCGCATGCGGGACCTGGAGTCTGGCAACACGAGCACGCACGGCGCGGTGCCGGGGCGCGAGGCTTTCGCAGAGCGCACGCTGGTGGTGGGGGGACTCGCTCCTCATCAAAGGTGAATGGAATAATGCATGAAGCAATGCCAAATCACCCTGAGTGTACCCCCCGGTACTGTCGGATGTCGTCGGCTAAGCGGGGTTGAGACTGGTTGGCACCTGGATGAGAGGCCGCCTGGTAATACCGGCTGTTGTATGTTAGCACTGCGAGGGGGCCAGGAGATGGCAGAACAGCAACGGTTGTGTCTGTGCGTTGTGAGGCCCTTCGGTCCACTAGCTCATTGAGGTGTCTTCTAAAAACCATAATCATCCACATCAATATTACTTTTAAGATAGTCCATACTCGCTTATTTGGACCACTTTATGATCCACTTTTTGTTTGTTATTATCAGCCAACGGATGGTCATGCAATGGACGTAATAATGCACTTGTTTCACCCACTGTCTGGAGAATGAGATTTTGACTGCTCGTGCCGCTCAGTAAGCAAGCGCTCGAGCTGCCCGTGACATGCCCCTGCACTCTGCGCGGACGGGCCTCAGGTACGAGGCGTGCGTGGAAGCGTGCACGGCTGGGGGCTGCGCGTCGAGCGAGTGGGCACGGGGCAGCACCCTGGAGGCGCCGCCCACCCTGCAGCCCGGCCCCAGCGTGGAGCCGCAGGCCGACGGCGCGGGGGACTGGGCGGGCCTGCGCGTGTCCTGGGCCTCCCCGCTGCGGCCCAACGGCCCCGTCCTGCGCTACGAGCTATACCGCCAGGGCCCCGTGGTAGGCCCTGCTGGCCCTCGCCGGGCCGCCGGGCCGCGCGTTGACCTCGTCTACAACGGGACTGCGCAGTCCTTCCGGGACGGGAGCGTGGAGACAAACGCGGAGTACGAGTACAAGGCAAGGCGCACCGGCGGTGTCGTAGCCCTCGCTTAAACATCCACGGTGGCTCTGAACAAAACTTAAAGGGCACAAATTCGAGGATAGTGGGGGAATTCTTCGCTAGAGTGAGTCGCTGGAGTTTGTCATTACACTACAGTGTAGCCCCACTGAGAGGTGCATTCAAGGCATAGAGGCCTGATATGAGATTTGTGAACACATCCCACAACTCCTGCCTCAATTCAGTTTCTCTCTTGCGTCTGTGCTGCTGTATGTGTGTGTTACTATGTTAAGAAATGTGCAGTAGTGCTCTGATCATAATTATGTTTAACTCTTGAAGGCCAATAAAATGAGCATATTTTTGAGAAAATCAGGAGTGAGCATTATATGGATAGACTCGCCTCCCAACATGGAAATTTTTAATTTTTCACTACTGGTTCACAGCTACCAGTGGAGGGTATGTCTCTTAACCCTTTCCTGTGCCAATGATATACACTTCTGATTCCGTTCCGATGACGTACATGTACATAATCGCAACGAAACCGGAATAATTTTTTTTTATAAAATAACTTTATCGGTACCGAGGCTCCCACGAGGACACGCGCGAGGGCGCCAGCTATCACAGAGTGCGGTCGCGTCGCTACGGTTCTCTGTGGTGAGTACAATGTCTTGATAAACAACGGTGCTACGCCTCTCTCGGAGGTGAATGGGACCTACCCATCAACTTGCAGACGTCTCAGAACGGGAAAGGGTTAAGCTGAAGCGAAGGTGACGTGGGATTGACCAGAGTTTGCCATGAGCAGAAGGATGCCGCTGTCCGCGAGGAGGCTGATGCCGGCAGTGGTGCGGTGGTGCGGCGGTGGTGCGGCGATGGTACGGCAGGTGCGGGCAGTGAACGCGGCCGGGCACGTCGACGGGGTCTGGGTGCGGGGGCGCACGGGACCCGCTCCTCCCCTCGGGCTGCAGCCACCCTCCTTTTCCTCGGTGGCGGCCACCTCGGCCGTGGTGCTCGTCTCACCGCCCACGCAGCCCAACGGCATCGTCACCGTTTACCGCGTCTTCGCCAACAGCTCCAGCGGCCTCCACATGATGGTACACCCATCATTGGCGGCCCGGCCGCACGACCTGCAAGCGGAGCACTTTTGTTTAAAAAAAACATTCTGATAACGTCAGTGCATCGTTAAGGTGTTTTCAGGATTACAAATGTTTTCAGAAAACGAATTGTTTGATCCTGTATTTTGTAATAGTCTATATATGCAATTTAAATGACGGTTTCTTGCCCCAATAATGTTAATCAGCGGCCGTTGGCGGTCCAACTGCACTGACGTGCCATGGTCCGGGGGAGCCTAAGCACCGGGCTACGACGATGACAGGGGGCCCCATTTATTCATCCCACCGAGGCACATATTGGTCACTCTGCGCCACTCACTGTCCTTCACGATCGTTGATCTTGGGTCAATGCTGAACTGCATAGCCGGCCTTTGGAGAGCCCGGTGGAGTCCTGTGGAATTGGGAAGACACCGCCTAACTGGCTGGTGCAGTTATTGTTGTGTATTGCGTCCGCCCCTTGTGCGACAGCTATCCGAGGGGGCCTCCGTGGAGCAGGAGATCCACGGGTTGGAGCCGTTCAGCACGTACTCGGTGTACGTGCAGGCGTGCACGTGCCTCCGCTGCTGCGCTGATGGACCCCCCGCGCGCCTGCAAACTCTGCCAGCGGCTCCCACCGGGCAACCCTCTCCTGCCCCCTCAGCTGTCGGGTCCCGCGCTGCCAGTCTGGCCTGGAGCGACCCCACACGGCCCAACGGGATCATGCACAGGTGCCCCTGCTCTCCATCATCGTTTGCGTGTGTATGTGTGTGCGTGTGTCTGTATGTGCACCGGAGTTGCCTGCAGATGTGACCACAACTGTACACTCAACGTTCATTATGCTTACAGTAAACACTTGCTAATTTGACACGTATGGGGCTCTGGCCTTGCCGAATTGTCCAATAGTCCGAATTATGTACAATGGTACTCCCCAGTGCCTCCTGCCCTAATTTAAAAAAATATCCAAATTTGTTTTCCTAAAATTATTTTCCAAAAAAAGCAACACTTACCACCAGTAACCAGCACTGCAGGCGAAGGAGGAGGATGCGGGAGGTTCCATGTGGTGAGTGACAGGTTGTAGAGGGGGGCTTAATGCACTGAGCATGCACTTACTGTACTGTATATTCACTTTATCATCAAATTATAACTTAAACACCAAATTGCACGAACTTAAACTTCACATTTTCGCTTAACAATTAATGTTTACTTGAAGACTACATTATTTTACACTTTCACAACACATTACTCGCCATCAGGCGACATCAGCTGATGTGGCACTTCACCACTGACATGGGTGTCTTCACTCACCGTACGCATCGACACACACCCTGCATCAATTCTATACGAAACTTAGAATTCGTCTCGCAGACTAAGGGATCTTGACGTCGGTGTAGATGGCATTTCTGAGAGGGTTGGCTTGCACAGAGTCCACAGCGACGGGTCCGCACTAACGCTCGCCACGCTCGCCACACTCGCCGACGCTCGCTACGCGCACCGCCACCAGACTGAGTCGTTGTTTTGGTCGTGTCGCTCGGCGTCACTCCACGTGCCATGCCGAAGTTGGACCGTTCGGTACGGTAATTCGGCTCATGGCCAATTACTAATACACCGTATATATGCCGAAAGCGTAGCTGTGTCGAATTATCCCCAATTACGAATGATCAAATACCGAAATAACGAGGTTTTACTCGATGTAGTAATCTTGAACCACTGATTTATTTTGGTTTTTATGAATAGTAAAAGCAGGTTTCAGTGGATAGTGGATTTACAAATATACAATGTTGCATTGTGTATGTGTGAGTAACATGCGAGTGACACTTGGGTAACTTAGATAGCTCTACTCTGAGACAACATAACTCTAGCCTTCCAAGACTACAAGGTGCCCACTGCAGGACGATGAAGACGACCCGCTCCAAGGTGACAACGGTGACGGCAATTCCCCCACAACAGCAGCCCTGAGCCCCGGTTCATGCCGGCTTTTATCCCCCTCATGACCCGGCCACGCCCCTTTTCCCGAACCCTCTCTCACTGCACCTGGCCCTGTCTGTCTCTGCCCTTATCCCTAACGCGACCCTGTCTGTTCCGTTACGTTAATTAGTAACCATGGCCACGGAGAGCCGTACTGTCCCTACATCACCCCGTACTGTCCTTAACCACGTGTGTGCGAGTACCAGGGGTGGTGCAGGCCCCCCACCCCCTCGTGTGCCATGTCGGCCTTCAAAGATGCTCCCTATTACCACTTGCCCCAAAGAGTCTGTTAAGGCTATACGGGGAAAACTTTGTCTTTCTGTGCTCTCTGGTCTCGGCGGCGCAGCTTCGAGCTACAGAAACGCATGTCGTGTCCTCAGCCGCCCCAACCCCTGCCGGTGGAGTGCCGGCAAGGCTCGCTGGACGTGGTGTACACGGGCAAGCACAGGTCCCACAACGTCAGCGGCCTCCTGCCCTACTGCAGCTACGACTTCCGCATCATCTCGCACAACCAAGCCGGAAGCACCGCGTCAGCATGGAGCACCCTCACCACACACAAGGAAGGTGAGCCGACTCCACCTCCTCGTGATGTCGTCGCCTTCGAGGTGCGCTTCTGCGCCTGTCTGGAACGCTCTTCCTTCTGATAATAGGAAGCTACTGGGAGCTATGCGCTTTTAAATCTCGATTGAAAACTATTTTTTTTTCCAACTGCTCTTTGTGTTGGATTTGTTTTCCGTCCCCCGCACCTTCGATTCGCACAGTTCGCTACGTACAGTGTGAAAGAAGTTCAACATGCCTTGTCTCTTGAGCCACGTGAGAGCAGGCGATACGGCATCTCTCTCATGGTAGAGATATTTGTCATTATTTGTGGAATAATTAGGCTACATCTTTTGTTTTACCTTTCGAGCTGAAAATTTGGTGTATTGCACTGCCCTCTATACAAGCAACCCAACCATGTTTTAATTGTCCATTTAAGTAGCAAACGAGGACCGTGGGTAATTTTCTGACACTGGTGTCAAGCAGTACCTCCTATATGAATGATCATGTAGAGATGTGGTGGACTGCAAATCCCAACTTTACCAACCAACACCACTACGTGTGTGCACATGACGTTCCTCTGAGGAGCGGTGTCCTGCAACAACAACTCTGGCACTGCACGGGTGATGTTTGACCACGCGCACTGTCCTGACAGCCCCAGAGTTCGTGGCGCCATTCGACGTGAGCAGCAACCTAACGGCGCTTTCGGTCGACTGGAGCGCCAGCTTCCACCTCAACGGGCCGCTGCGCGAGTTCGCTCTGAGCGAGGGCGGCACTCGCGTGTTTGCAGGGCTCAGCCTCTCCGCCAGCCTGCCACGCACATCAGACAAAAGTAAGCATGGAGCGAGACACCAACTCTGTCCATGGGACACAAGCCCTGGGCCCAGGACATAACCCGTGTTTGCCAGACACTATTCATGTCCATCCCCTGTCACGTGTGTCTGTGTGTGTGTTTGGGAATTGCAAGATTTAACTTTATTGTGTGTTCGCACAAGTGTATGGTAACTTTATTGGAAAGTGATATCTGTAAATGATGTTGATCCTCCCCTTTTCAAACGGACCATGAGTTGCAGTTGCATTTAGTCATTATAAAAGATGAGTTGTGAAATCAGCTGATGTGCTGAATGTGACATCCCTGTCTTTGTGTGTTTCTTGTTTTCTCAGCATTCCAGTTTCGCGTCACCTGCACAACAGAAATGGGATCTGTCAGTTCTCCCATCATCTCGTACAACACTGCCACTGGAATAGGTGCGGCCATTTACTTAACTCCCCACGGCCTCATTATACTTCACGCGGTTGGTCATGTCAGGCCACAGCAGCGCTCGAGCTGAGATGCCACTGGACTCTGTTTTATTCCCTACCAAGGGGAGACAACGCAGGACTCTGGGGGGCGGGTCCCGGATGGAGGCCCCCACTTCTACAGCGAGCTGTGGTTCGTGTCTCTGCTCTCGGCCGTGGGGATGCTGCTCATGGCCGTCGTGCTGGCGCTGCTGCTACGCCGCGCCATGCGCAAGCCGCCCTATACGCGCCAGCGGCCGCCGCTGCTGGCCTCCCGCCACGCGCAGGCCAGCATGATGCCGCTCTGCGTCTACCCGTCCTCCGACAACCTCCTGGTGCGTCCCTCACCCCGCTGCGCTTTCTCGGGCTCGCCGGTCCCTTCGCCTGCGCCGCGTCACCCGGGTGCTGTCTCGAGCGTTACTTGAGCAATTTATATCGGGTCATCGTCAGCCAGGATACAAGTTTGTGCCCTCTGGCAAACGTTTAACACAATCGCAGGCACCATCAGTGTCTCTGGTGTTAAAATGTATAAGAGTCATAATACGCACTGTGCTCACTGTGCACTTTGATGTTTCCTATTCTTGTGACTGCACCGGTAATGTCCTGTGGTACCTATTTTTTTATATTTCCCACTGCCACCCATCCGCCTCCGCCTCCATTGTCGTGCTAAGATGAAGGACTCCTGTCCTGGCTCCAGCCTCCATGATCAGTGTCTCTCTGCTTCTGCCACTTTGCAAGTTCCACACACTCTCTGTGTGCCCGACCATCGCCTTGTACACTTGGTAAGGTGTGGCCGTGTCTCGTCCCTTCCATCCTCATATTTGTCACCACATTCCCACACATTTGCTGTCCTGTTCCTGCCTGTAACTTGCTTTACCACACTTTCATGTGGTGTACCATGCCACTGCCTCTTATCATGCTCTACTGTGCTCTGCCATACTTGACTACACTATGATGTCCTGTAATGTGTGGTAGTGCAATTCTACCATTCTCTCCTGTGCTGTGTAACACTGCGATGTGCTGCATAACATGCTGTCGGTTTTTACCATGTCATGCAGTGCTACTGGCTTTACCACCCGTTACCGTTGCTGCATTATGGCGTGCGCGTCGTGTTTGGCTTCTCAGTTTGACCACCTGGCGGACTCCATCGGCTCGGCAAGTAGTATCACTTTGCGGAGTTTCACGTTCCATAACGAGGTACCCACGCGGCGCCACGGTCGCAGCAGCCTGGTTTCCATACGACAATTTCACTCGCATGCCTCTCTTCACGGGGCTTTGTCGTTGAAAGGCAAAACGTAAAATAAAGGGGGGGAAAAATATGTAATTATACGAATTTGAATCCACATTCTTGACCAGAACAAGGGTTTCTTCCTCCATTTCTTTCTTTCGTGTGATTCTATAGATGGGGGTGACCTGTCCATTAAGATAATGACCATTTATTTTATTGAAAATATAAAAGTATTCCTTTGCAAGAAAAACAAAGCACAGCTGTGCCCACTGTTTCTCCCAGTGACGTCTAGTACTCACTGAGCACATTGTCCGCAGTCTCGAGAAAAATTTGAAGTTTCTCTGAACGAGTTTTATGGAAGCCTGGGTCGTGTGTGCATGGGGTCTGGTGTGCTTTGCGCTTCTGCATGTGCTGCTCAGATAAAACCAAGCGAGGCCGCGACGGTGCAAGCTGAGCTGAGATGCGTGGAAATGTTGAGTTTTGCCGTGCTCGTTTCTGGTGACTTAAAACCACATTTTCACTTGCTTCACCTGTGATTATTAAGACTGAAATATTGCAACAGTTCCCGTAAAAATGTGTGTCACAAACTCTCCTCCACCCGACACAGCCAATTAATAAAAGTTTCACGTGAATCAAACGTGGCCAAATGTATAACTGCTTCAGCAGCACCACCACCGATGTTGATGTTGGTGAGTAATCTCACAACGTTCAAATGGGTGCGACGTTCCGCTGCAGATTACATCCAGCATCGTCAGGTTGTTGACAGGAGCTCGGATCTCGAGTGAAGCGTCATGGCACCCACTTAAAGACACGGAACAGGAATCGCTTTCACTCGAGGTCCAAGCTCTTGTGAACAACATTGTTTCACTCCCCGAAACGTAACCCACTGAATGTGCGCACAGGCGCACGGCGATTTGAACCAGGGTTGACAGCTGCAGAGGCTATGTGCTCTCCATTGAACTGCAATGATTTTGGCGAATTCATGACATGTTCTGGTGATGAAATCACGATTTTTAAGATTGTTATTTTAGTGGTATTATTACTGATGTTGTTATAAAATCTGACAAATTTTAATGTATTTGTATGATTATATTTGCCAAAAAATGAGAGGGCTGTATTTGAACTCGGTGACTTACAGCCTCATGCGATCTCCACTCGGTAAAGGGATTACACCGTGGGCGATTTTTCATTGTTAAAACTGAAGACTGGGAGCTTAGCCAGGGCTGAGTTTTTCATGTTAAGGTTACTGGAGATAACATGACCAGCCAGACCAGGACGTGATCCCGTGGCCCTGAGCAACACGTGGACATCCTTGGGAAATTGATCTTGCACAGGAAACACTGTCTTCACTCTGAGTCCCTCACACTTGAGATGGAGCGATGCCAGACATGTGGTGGTGCATGCCTTTCATTCAGCGCTTTGGGATGCAAGGGTTGGCAGAGAACATGGAAGATCGTCAAACTCCCAAACTGTGTGGACAGGAGACGGGAGCGCAGCAAGTCGTCTTGTGAACTCATTTGAGCGGGATACATTTAAAACAATTAATTTACAATGCCAGGTCTGAGCCTGGTTATTGATTTAAAAGTGAATATAACATAATCAGGCAATATCTCCTTTTGTGTTAAATGATTATTTTCATCTATATGTCAAGCTATTTTTGGATGAACGGATGCTGCGGGTCACCGGTTCTATTCGATCTCCTGCCGCAGCAGATGAAACAATGGGCAGGTTCTTAAATCCCATCCGCCGCCCGTCTCTGTCCTCCAGTACACACCACAATTCATCGGTTGTCTGGCCAGCATGGTTGGAGGCCAAATATACCCTCGAGAGGGGCCCCATAGACTGGGAGAGCCACTTCTGCTGGCAGTGGCATGAGTAAACAATTGCAGGCCTCCTCAACCTGTATGTCATGGGGATTATTTGACCATACTTCACCACGCTGGTCAGTGAGGGTTGTTCAATTGAATCCCGCCAATTTTATTCCCACTCCCCCCGCTGAAAATGTGCCAAATCGCACACCCTGGTGCTGAGTCGGATCTCGTGGGGGTTTCCGGCAGGGCCTGCCGGACACGCGCATCTCAAGCCCTAGCTCGCACAAGCGCGGCAGGGCCGCGCGACGGCACAGCGTCTCGGTGATTCACGTGCCCCCGCGCGGGACACCGCTGAGCCCACCCACTCCGCCACCGCCACCGGCTGCACCGCCGCTGTGTCGCGCGTGCTCCCACGACTCGCTGCACCACGGCGCCAGCCGGCTCGTCGAGACGGCCGAGGCGACGTCCCTGCTGGAGGAGCCGCTCTGGGACACGCTGATGCGGCCCCGAGTCCGGGACAGCGGGATGATGAGCACCGTAAGCACCTGCCGCTACAGCCACGTTGGCTCTCAGGTCGTGTGCCGGTACCACCTCGGGAGCCCACTGTTCGATGTGTCTGTGCCGCCACAGTTTGGGGATGACGAGGAACTCCTGGAGTCCATGAAGGCGTTCACCATCTGCAAGGAGCACACGGTCTTCACCGACACTCACCTGTAACCCAAGACACGTGTATCCGCGACGCAAGGAGTTTCACCGCAGCCGCTGCGTTAACGCCAACGTGACGGAGTGGTCCACGAGTGTTCGCTCATTCATGCGCTGCTGGCCTTTGTGTTCACGCATTGCCGTGGCATTTCATCAATACGCATTTAAATTTCAGCAACACAGGGAAAGGTTAATACGTTTCGATTATCTCACTACCCCTTGGTATTTTAAATTAATGGAAAGCAAGATTTAGCGTGGAGTCTTTATAGTAAATTTCAGAAACCACTGTTATTTATTCGTGTACCTTGTCAACTTTGCCAACGTTTACCAGTGTCAAAATGCCAACAAGAAAGTTTTTTTACTTTTAAAGATAAAATTGCCAACTTGCAGACACAATCAGCACACAGCCAGTGGGCATGCTCACGAGGACACGTGTTTGTCAACGAGTTAACGTTGCGATGGTTTGTGTGCAGCAGTGATTGAGCACCCACAAGTCGGCGGAGATGCGTTAATAGCTTTAGTAAGTTGTGTAAGGTTATTCGATTTGTTACGCGGATGGTCCCGTTTCGCCAGTTTCCTGGCTATTTTACAAGCGAGATCCGTGGTGCGTGAGCCGAGCAGCAATGACAAAACAAAGACAACAAGACATCAATATTGCAGAGAACAAGTACAGGTTTCTTAAGGTGTATTGCTCAACTCAGGCAAGACGTGGTTTATATTTCTGTAGTGGGATACCGAACGTGTAATGGAATGGGCAGCGGTAAAAATCCTGAATGCTTTCTGAATGGGTTTTTTTTTTGCTTATCGATGCAGAGAGGTTGCTTTCTGTTACTGGTAGGAACCACCTGGTTCCACCAACCCACAGCGGATTATTGTGTCCGTCCGTCGTGCATCAAAAAATGGGAGGGGTGGGGCTGGGTGGAGAGGGGTGGGGAGGGGCTGGGTGGGGAGGGTGGGAGGGGTGGGGCTGGGTGGGGAGGGGCTGGTCACCCCGTGGTGCCCTTATAAAACTCAACGTTTAACCTACTCACGCCGGCTTGTGCCCGCCCTCATAATCGGCCATATTTGCGGAATACACCACGCCGCCGTTGACCCTGCAGGCCATTGACCGAGCAACCCAACGTTCCTACCAGCTCCCGCCGCAGGAATGTGTTTTATCGTCCACTCGTGTTGCCTAAGCTTCAATGCCTTTTTCTACAAATTGAAACAGGGTTTGATTTTTTTTTACCACAGCAAAAAAAGGATGGAAAATGACTTTGTATTTCATAGCATTGTGCGTGGTGTCCGTGATAAAATACCATCGTAAAAGTTTACTGAAAACGTATCGAAATGTAAACACTTGTAAATGTATTGTTGTTGTTTTCTCAGTGCAGTACTTGCTTAGGGTAGCACACTGGTAATCGTTGTTGTTTGTCGTCGTAGCGGTGCTGGTTATTGTGATGGGTCACCAGCAAGCGGCGATGTTTCCCAACCCGCGCCACCCAGCGGCAACAAACGAACACTGCAGGGCAAGGCAGGCCGCTTTCAATAACAGCAATAAGCCGTGCCTCTTGCGCAATGTTTGAATTTGCAAACATCTGGGTGGCAATCGGCCTGACGAAATTAATGTCACATGGAAGTGGAAGGGTCTGTGCAACCAGTTGTATTTTTTTTTCAGGCAGAACAGTGCCGGCTAGATTACTGCACTTGACGTCTCATGGAGACAACGCAGTGGATGATGTGTCTAACTTTACAACTCAGTGGGTGAAGACAGTGGCGTAGCTATCGAGGGTGCAGATGATGCAAGTGCACCAGTGACGAGGGTACGAATTAGGAGGTAATTGGGCAGGAGGGCCTATTTCTTTCCGAGCACCAGTGCTCCTGCCAACCATTGCTACTTGCCACTGGGTACAAAATCTAGGTCTGGTTTAACAAACTGTTTTCATTACTGTGTCCCAGGCAGGTGCAGTCTTGCAGTGCACACACAAATTTGCCGATGGTGTTTTGTTATTGTGTGGCCCAATGGGAAAGTCTGTAACCATACACCCTCCATTGGCAGTTCTTTAGATCAGTTAGGTCAGCTGTGCTTCATTATAAGTATGTTCATTAAACTTCAAAGACATCCTTGTAGGCCTAGACGTAATAATTGTAAAAAATGTTACTGGTTGTGGTATTACATATGTGAAGCTCTTATTCGTAGTGCCAAACACTGTTTGTTGTAAAGGCCTCGGTGAATCAGTTTTCTGCTGCAATGGTGGAACAAGGTACATTCGTCGGTGAAGTTTTCATCCTCCACGTCTGTGATTTTCATTTTTGGTTTTAATGTACCGGATTGGTACTGCCATGTGTCTCCTGAACGTGCTGTTTTTTATATTTAAGTTTTCGATATAACATTCCATCATAATGCGCATAAAAATTGAGAAAACACAGCGATAGCCTTTGGCCGATTCGGAAAGGAAATTCATACGAGAAAAATGCCATGTTGCAAAAAATATATTCAAGAGATTTTACCTTAAATATTTTATTTACCATTACAACACGGGAAAACAGGTCACTACAGTATTTACAACTGCAACATGAAAACAATGGGAGTGCATAAACTAAGTGCACAATGCGACAGGATACACATTATTATTTAGCACAGCAAATTATTATACCCATCAAACACAAATGGAATCGTGACATGTGGAATGGGACTCAGTTGAGGGTGCGTTATTAATCTTTTATTACACCATACCACAGTTTACTGGTTTAATGATCACTAATGGATAATGGAATGTTGAGAGCTGTGTAATACATATGGAAAAGCGTACAACTGAATAACATACTTTGTGCAAGAAGAAATAGGACAATCTGAAAAAGTCTATTATTTTTTTACTAATGTACAACCACACCCCCCCCCCCCCTTGCTTGTTTCATGCATATCCTCTTTCAATTTCTTGTGGTAAGATTTTCAAATAAAATCTTATATTTGTTGACAGACTCGAGGAATCCACTACTCGTATGAACTGGCCTATTCTGTTGGAGCTGTGTTGACACTACACAATGAAGCCTTCGCGTTCCTCCTTCTCCACAAGCAGCAATGCCCAACTGTGAGGCACCGCAATGCAGGTGGTATACGTGAGCCACTAGATCAGGGGTCGGCAACCTACGGCTCCGGAGCCGCATGCGGCTCTTTACGGGCTGCTTCTTGACGATATGTACGTATGTACAGTATGTACTCAGATGCATTGCGGCTCTTGAAATACTGAATTTTGTACCGAATTGGAAAGAAATGGCTCTTCTTGTTATTTTGGTTGCCGACCCCTGCACTAGATGATTAGAATGCACCTCCTCTGCTCAACTTCAACACCGAAGGGAAAGAAATGCACGAAGCATATCCGACATTGCAGTAGTGCAGCACCAATACCCACATGGTTGTTTGTCCAGTTAACCTTTTTTATACCCTTAAATTTGAACTTCATGGACTCAAGATAGAAAATTTAGCGCTGAAAATTTAACATTGCACAAAACTGCATAGTTTTAAGGAAAAACAAGAGTAGCCTCTGAAAATGTATTGTTGAACAAAAGGTATTCAACAATCATTACCTGCAGAGTAGCTTTAAAATGTAATGGAGCTTAACATGTTCAGAGTGAAAACCAAACATTGCAATCGATACTTAAAAAGGGGAGTACAACCTCTTTTCAACCACGTGAGCAAGATTGAAAATAAGACTGACTTGCCAAATGAAAGCAATCGTAAAAGTACTAAAGCATATAACATAGATAACAAAAGGAACAATTAAATAATTGTAAGCATCATCGAGCAAAAGCGATTTGGAATGTGGAATTAATGACACTGCATGCAGGCTTCTGTTCAGGGTCAGTGTTTTCAGCAAACATGCTTTAGCTTCTATGCTACTTTAAGCGACATTCGCCCCAGCGTGCAGCCCATCCTGCTCGACACTTTTGCTCAATGACGCAGGGTGTAACTCAGCCCAGCGGCCTCTGCCTTATCGCTTCTTTGGTAAGGGAACGGCAGCCTTGGGTGGGGTGACAGGACGTCCCGAGTTCATACCCCCATACTGGTACTTTGCTTTTTTCTCAGAAGGTTTAAGGATCTGAAAGAAAACATTGAAATTGCGATTTAGCGAGCCTTCATTTATCACATGAATTGAAATAGTGAGTAGAAAACTGCCGGTGCACAGCGTGGCATTAACAGTTACAGACCTGGAAGGAGCACATGAGTGTTTCGTCCACGCTCATCATGCCACCAGCGTTATCAAATTCCCCACAGTAGTTAGGGGCGGAGAACAAGGTGACAAGCTGTCGTTTGGCAAAAAATTCATATCCATCCTCGACAACCTGCAAAAAAGAGTGAATGCATACAAGCAGCTGTTTATAAAATTGTGTAACGTGAGGCTACATAACTAAGGTGGTTTAGCTTGGGGAGCTACAGGATGCGCAACCTGTGCCACTGGTCGCGCTCACCTGATGGGCTCGGCAGATGAGATCCAGGTCGTGACGGTTCAGGAACTTGCTGACCACATCGCCCCCAAACGTAAAGGAGACACCGCGATCATTTTCCCCCCAGCCCTGCACGTCCTTGTCGGGATCCGACCACAGCAAATCGCACAGCAGGCCTGCGTCGCCAAAGAGAGATCACAAGACGCTGAGCCCACATGCTTTACCCATAATATAGCTTGTAATGCTGCAATGTAATTAGCCAAAACACTGGAAACCACACAAAGAAAGCATTCAGTATTGATGAAAAATCTCTCACCAGTGTCTGGTACGTCTGTGGGTCTCATGATTCGGCGAATCTGTTCCATGGACTGAAGGTCAGGAGACAACCCTGCCATCAAACACAATGCACAGAATTACAGAATTTCACAGCATCGCAACATAACTTAATAAATCTGGGTTTCACACTTATTAACCTAAACTTTAACAATTATGTTGTGCATTTCATATTTAGACAAAGTGGTTAAAAACAAAGGAACTCACCTCCATGACAGCAAAATATTTTTTCATCAACAATTGCTGCAATCGGCAGGCAGTTGAAGCAGTCCGTAAAGGTCTTCCACAATTTTATATTGAAGCGCCGCTTACCTAGAAAAATAAAACAGTTTTGGTTGTGTGAAATTGGCCATCCAGGAATATGCTTCCTCAATAAGTATCAAATATCGTGCTTTAAGTTCCCCGCTGTTAAATAAAGTAGTCCATGAAATTTGACAACTTTGAAACTTTATCAAAAACCTACACATTATCTAAGTGTGTGCCGAATTTCTTACATTCCCTTTGCATCTCCCAAATTTGAGCAACATGAAACGTACGTTAACATTCCGTGATGAACGATCATGAATGCCAACTACTGGGCACTCGCTCTGCTAGTGTGGTCTTCTGGGTTGAACATTTCTCCTCTCACGCTTCCGTCACATAATACTGCAGGCATCTTCACAAGATGAGATAACGAGTTGCTGGACTCACACTCATCGTAGAAGCCGTAGATGCGGTTGATGCTGGCGCACTCGTGGTTGCCACGCAGCAAGAAGAAGTTTTCTGGGTACTTGATCTTGTAGGCGAGCAGCAGGCAGATTGTCTCCAGGGACTGCTTGCCACGGTCGACGTAGTCGCCCAGGAACAGGTAGTTGGCTTCGGGGGGGAACCCTCCATACTCAAAGAGCCGCAGCAGGTCCGTGTACTGCCCATGGATATCACCTATGCAACAGAGGTGCATATAACATTACTAAAAAAATCCCCCAGTTGTAACGTGACAAATTATGATTAAGTCAAAAGTGTAATTTATTGATATAGTAACCAAAGTCCAAGTCAAGCATGCAGTGTTATAGCAAGGGCTCAGTTTCAACCAGGAATGTCAAGGACAGTGACCTAGAAAATAATTCATCCACTAAAACTTTCGCTCTGGTTTGGCTAGAAATCATGTGTCTACTGCGGTAAACCAACAACCTGGAAAATGTTCAGTGAGAAATTAAGCCCTGGTTATAGCCTCTGGCAAAACAGCACGGTACTTTAAATTTTAATACACTGTCAATCAACGGGGTATAATTTATTTTTAACTGCACTGCACAGATGAAACTGTAAGCTATGACCATGTATGGTCTTAACGCTCTTAATACACTGGTCCGATTCACGCTTTCTCAATGTCATCTCTGACGCATCCTTGTGGTATTCATTGCCACAACAACTTTGTCATGATTAATCTTCTGAGTTCAGAAGTCTGTGTAAAGTTTTAAACAATGTCTAAGTGAATGTTTTTCCTGTAGATTTACTTCTGACCTAAGTAGGGCATTACAGAAAAGCAATGGAATGTAACAGCTTAAATGGGTTGACCCATTTAAGCTTACTTTAATACTATTTTATGAAAACTTAGATTAGTTTTTTATTACATTGCTGTGTACCAATAGTTATGTGCAAATCCTAGTCTCTCAAGATATGTACAATCAATGTCACCAAGATGTGGGTACACAATATTTGACACTTAGAAATGTGTCACATGATAACAGGCATATGTAATGTATCGTGTTGGGAAGTTGTTCCATCTCTACGTATTACTCAATTGTATTTTCACATTTATCTTTTAATATTGGTGGAAAGTTAATTTTTTACTCTTGTCATACTTCAATGACCACCAACTTGCAACACCACTCCTGGGCTGAGCATAGCACTCAATTAAGTCGTTCACAAGAACATGCAGATTCCCGGCACGTGAACGTGGAGTGGTGTATGTGCTCTCGGGACACACCGCAGATCTTGAGCGGCGCCTCGAGCTCGAGCAGGATGGGCTGGCTCAGGAAGATCTCGCGCGACTTGACGCACAGGCCCCGCACTTCGGCCTCCGTCATCTGCACGGTCTTCCCAGGGCGGCATCCTCGCACTGAAACGCACCACCGCCACGCCTTTACGTCAACCGCACGAACACAACCTACACCGCCCATACATTGCGCAATAACCACACTACACCACGGCACAACACACGATGAGCACAACACCACCACCTTGACATTAACCACACTACACAACCTCCACCGTCTCTATACATTGCACAATAACCAGACTACATCCCACACAATAACCACACTACACCACGGCACAACACACGATGAGCACAACACCACCACCTTGACATTAACCACACTACACAACCTCCACCGTCTCTATACATTGCACAATAACCAGACTACATCCCACACAATAACCACACTACACCACGGCACAACACACGATGAGCACAACACCACCACCTTGACATTAACCACACTACACAACCTCCACCGTCTCTATACATTGCACAATAACCACACTACATCCCACACAATAACCACACTACACAACACACGATGACCACAACACACGATAACCACAACACCACCACCTTCACATTACCCACACTACACAACCGCCACCGTCTATACATTGCACAATAACCACATTACATGGCACATCACACATAATAACCACACACAACCTTTACATTAAACACGAACCACCTCCACCATTCCACACACGGTACAATAGCCTCTTCACGGCACAATAACACACGCGATACACAATACCAACAACCTACACACCACACATTTAGTGTGCTACAACACACCATCCCCAATGCATGAACCACAGTAGCCCAAACACAAGCCCCACACGATACACTAACCGACACGCGCACAATAACCACTGAACACCACAGGAGCCCCACCACAGCGCGATCATTCACCCGCATTAACTGCACTATCCCCACACACCACATTCACCACCCACTCTTCGCTGCAGTCAACTTTAGAGGGAGGAAACTACAGTAAGGGCAAGACCCGGCGGGGGTGGGTGGAGAAGGAAGGGCAAAGATGGGAGAGGGGCAGGGCAGGCGGGGGGCAGCGAAGGGAATCGCGCGGCGGAGAGGGAGGCCGTGCGCGGGCAGGGCGAGTCAGGCGAGGCCGAGGAGTCACGAGCCGAGGAAGAAGTGCAAGGCCCAAGCCGACGTGAGCAACGGGGGTTGCGAGCAGGAAGGTTTCGAGGATGTCGCTCAGTGACGGCGGAGCGACGCTGGGTGGTAGTGGGGGTGGTAGTGGGTGGGGGGGGGGGGGTCCCGCCGCGGTGCGAGTGTCGGCCCGGCGGTCGCGGCCCGCACCCTCGAGGAGGCGCGCGATGATTCCGTCCACATTCACGTCCCCGTCCGCCATTTCCGCGGGGAGGCGCGGTCTCGTCACGTGACGCAACATGCGCACGTGACTCGTGGGGAAAGTGGGGGCGCGAGGGAGGGGGTTGGGAGGGGGGAGGGAGGGGTGTGGGAGGGAGGAAGAGGAGTGGGCTGGGGAAAGCGAGGGAGGGGGGGTGAGGGGTTAGAGCAAGGGAAGGGGGTAAGAGGGGGGGGCGAGGGAGGGGGTAACGAGGGAGGGGGGAACGAGGGAGAGGGGGGCGAGGGAGGGGGGAGAGAGGGAGGGGGGAGAGAGGGAGGGGGGAGAGAGGGAGGGGGGAGAGAGGGAGGGGGGGAGTAAGGGGTGGCGAGGGGGGGAGTAAGGGGTGGCGAGGGAGGGGGAGCGAGGGAGGGGGAGAGCGAGGGGGGAGGGACGGAGGGAGGGGGGAAAGACGAGGGAGGGGGGGCGAAGGAGGGGTAGGGGTGAGGGAGGGGGGGAGGGTGTCCACCCAAGCTCGCGAGACAATTTAACATTTTACCGATAACTAGCTCCACTACCCGGCTTCGCCCGGGACTTGGATCCACCACGCCCGGCCGCCTTTGTCTCCCCAGTGGCGATGTTCATACGCCACACCAGTTACTCGTTTTGAGGCTGAGTCGACCTAGGTGAGGCCCAGGACCGGTTCAAATAATCGCTCACCCAGCTTAATGACTATTTGTACAGTCAACATTTAAAGAATCGATTCTTGGCGCGTCGTGTTTAATAGTAATGACACAGTTGTTTTTTCATCTGAAATGGTAATTGTTGTGGTTTCACGCTTGAACACACCGGTGGGCTAAAGCAGTGAACTATTAGTCTTTTATCAACGTGACACTTTTTTACTGATTGGCTGTGTCGGGTGGTTGAGGGTTACAACACATTAATAAATAAGGCGATCTAAACCCAATAACGTTGTTTATGAATAATGGTCGCGAAAGCCTACGTGTTACAAATTGACTCACTTTACTTAATAACCAGGCTACAGTCTACATTATAGACTGCCAGTACACCCACCACGCTTAATAACCAGGCTACATTCTACATTATAGACTGCCAGTACGCTCACCCAGCTTAATGACTATTTGTACAGTCAACATTTAAAGAATCGATTCTTGGCGTGTCGGGTTAAAAAGTAATTACACAGTTGTTTTTTCATTGGTATGTAATGTTTGAAAGTTTTCAGAAGATTTTAAATGTATTTTCCCCCCGGGCAACGCTGGGTATATCGAGTTTATACCACAAAGTCGTCGCTTAACACGGGTGGGGTGTCGAGGCCTAGTACCGTGCAGAACCTCCAGCCTCGCCTAGATTGCCCACCCGGCTGAGACTGGGTACTGGGACCGTTAACCCCCCCCCCCCCCCCCGCGCGCTACAATAATACTGTCTAATCGCTATAATTTTATTATCTACCGACCCTATAATAGTAATTGCACACATTGGGATGGGGGGGGGGAGTGAAGAGGACGTGAAACTTTGATGAATTTACCTCAGAGTCGCGTGTTAATGCGTGCGCATATTTTTAACGGGAATTAAAAATGGCGTCCACCCCGCAGCGAATGTGTCGCTACCCATTGCCAGGGGCAACCGCCGTGGAAAACCAAACGGACCAATCGCGTCTCGCAAATCCCTCACATTTCGTCCAATGAAACTGCGTATGGTCCGGTGACACACAGACAAAGAGACACACACACAGACAGACAGACAAACAGACAGACAGATTTGCGATTTTATATATATAGATAATAGGTTATTGGGTTAAATCGAGTAAATGTATAAATGTGTCGTTAAACCCGCCACCACCCGACACAGCCAATTAGTGAAGTCTGTCACGTTAACAACAAAGCATGCCAATTGTTTACGAGCACAGGACTCCGTTGTGTTGTTGTTGGATAGTAAACACAACTCTGGCTGTCCGGCTGATGGTGCTGGTTGTGATGGCTGGCGAAACGTCGTGCTCGCATTGTAAATGTTGTGGGTTTACTTGCCAACACACCGGTGCGCTGAACTAGCAACGAATTGGCACGTTCTGTTTACGTACAAACCTTACTAATTGGCTGTGTCAGGTGGTGGCGGGTTTAACGACACATTTATATTTCACGATGATATTGGTCCCGGTCACGCCGTGCTAGACCGGGACCAATATCATCGTGAAGTCGCACACGCCGTTAGGCAGCACTAAAGAAGAAGAAGAGAACAAAAACAATTATTAAGGATAATATTGATCGCGAAAGCTCACGTGTTAAACTCAGTGCCGGATTAAGCTATTGCTGGGCCTCTAGCATCTGTTATAAACGGGGCCCTGAATTAAAACAACCAAATATTAAAAGACATTTTGAACTTGCATAGTAAAGTAATTGTATTGTTTAATTTGCTATACAGCCAGATAATACGATAAATCGCTAACCTTAAACACCCAGTCGTTCATAAAAGTTGAAGGCGGTATAGTACTGTAGTAATAGAGTAAGTGCAGAATCACTGAACCGGAATTGATAGCTAAAGAAGTTAGCGCGGGGCCTTTTGAAAGTGCGGGGCCCGTAGCATATGTAGCTACTTTTGCTAATCGGATATCCTGGCATTGGTTAAACTCACATTTTAGCGATACGGGGGGAGGGGGGGGGGGATTAAAAGTCGTATAAACTTCGGGTTTGATTCCTGTCCGGTTTTTACGGAAACCGACATGGACCAACGTGAAATATGTTTGCAACGAAAGAGCAATCGACGTAGCCCTGACCTGCCTTGAGAGCGGTGGGGTCGCAACCCTACGGCTCCATGGGAACCCCGTTTACCATGGAAGCCCAGTTTACCATGGAAGTACAGTTTACCATGGAAGTCTAGTTTACCATGGGGGTTCAATTTACCATGGAAGCCCAGTTTACCATGGGAACCCAGTTTACCATGGGAACCCAGTTTACCATGGAAGTACAGTTTACCATAGGAGCCCAATTTACCATGGAAGTCCAGTTCACCATTGAAGTCCAGTTTACCATGGAAGTCCAGTTTACCATGGGGGTTCAATTTGCCATGGAAGCCCAGTTTACCATGGGAGTCCAGTTTACCATGGAAGGCCAGTTTACCATGGAAGGCCAGTTTACCATGAAAGTCCAGTTTACCATGGGAACCCAGTTTACCATAGGAACCCAGTTTGCCATGGAAGCCCAGTTTACCATGGGAGTCAAGTTAACCATGGAATTCCAGATTACCATAGGAGCCCAGTTTACCATGGGAGCCCAGTTTACCATGGAAGTCCAGTTTACCATGGAAGCCCAGTTTACCATAGAAGTCCAGTTTACCATGGAAGCCCAGTTTACCATGAAAGTACAGTTTACCATGGAAGCCCCGTTTACCATGGGAGTCAAGTTTACTATGGAATTCCAGATTACCGTAGGAGCCCAGTTTACCATGGAATTCCAGTTTACCATTGAAGTCCAGTTTACCATGGAGGTCCAGTTTACCATAGGAGCCCAGTTTACCATGGAAGTCCAGTTTACCATGGAAGCCCAGTTTACCATGGAAGTCCAGTTTACCATGAAAGCCCAATTTACCATGGAAGTCCAGTTTACTATGGGAGTCCAGTTTACCATGAAAGTACAGTTTACCATGGAAGCCCAGTTTACCATGAAAGTACAGTTTACCATGGAAGCCCAGTTTACCATGAAAGTACAGTTTACCATGGAAGCCCAGTTTACCATGGGAGTCAAGTTTACCATGGAATTCCAGATTACCGTAGGAGCCCAGTTTACCATGAAATTCCCGTTTACCATTGAAGTCCAGTTTACCATGGAGGTCCAGTTTACCATAGGAGCCCAGTTTACCATGGAAGTCCAGTTTACCATGGAAGCCCAGTTTACCATGGAAGTCCAGTTTACCATGAAAGCCCAGTTTACCATGGAAGTCCAGTTTACCATGGAAGTCCAGTTTACCATGAAAGCCCAGTTTACCATGGAAGCCCAGTTTACCATGGAAGTCCAGTTTACTGTGGGAGCCCAGTTTACCATGAAAGTACAGTTTACCATGGAAGCCCAGTTTACCATGAAAGTACAGTTTACCATGGAAGCCCAGTTTACCATGGGAGTCAAGTTGACCAACCTCCGGCTCTGGTGCCCCATGTGGCTCTTTTCACCGGCAGAGCCAGTGGGGGTGGGGTGGGACTCTATGAGACGATAGGACAATTATTATTGGTCAATAAGTAACGGCAAAGCGGTTATAAGTGACTCAGAATTGTGCGCAGTTGCGTCTACAGTCGACGAGCGCGATGCCGATCACACGACGCGGTTCGAATTCGACCTTCGATCCATGGCTGCGCCATCGCCGCACACGCGTCGAATAAGATGCAAAGGGGCAAGTCCTTACTAAGAACTCCTCTATCATTTTTCATTGCTGGAGGGGTTGCCCCCCCCCCCATACCTGAAAATCCTGGCTCCGTCCAGTTCACCATGGATGTCCAGTTTACCATGAACTGTTTCGCGGCGTTAATTATGAAGGGCCGTCTCGCATTCCCATGTAGTGCGGCTATTGAAATATTGATATCTTTTTTCCATCGAATTTTACTAAAATGGCACTTCTTGTTGCGTTGGTTGCCGCTGCCTGAGGCTTCAGAGTAGTTCCTGTGAGGCGGTGACTGCGGCACGGTGGGTCCAGCAGGGGTCGCACCGTTCACTGCGCCTGAGTAGCGCAGTCACCGTTGTTTTGGGGCCCAGGTAAAATGTTCTCGGTCGAACATCGGCCAAATTCAATCCCATGTGTCGATGCATTCTTGTACTTAAAATGAGTCCTGACTTGACCTTGTACGGCCAAAGTGAGTCAAAGTAAATGCTGTGACGGATTGTCACTGACCGAAAAAATGAAGCAGATTATG